CCCCAAAAACAACAATCAAAGAACTTTGAGGGGAATTTAGAAGATTAAAAAGCAGGTTGTAAAAAGAATTAAGGCGAAAGCAAAATATCTAATGAGGAGGCTGAATGACCTAAGTAAACTTAAAACAGGAATAAAAATGAAGAAAAGCAGGAAGCATTTCCCATCTGTGAGGGAACAGGTAGATGCCCACTTCATAACTGTTTTCCCAGAGAACTTAATAGGGGTTCAGAGGGCTTTCTGGTGTAATTTAGGGAGGGTGATCTCAATTAACCCCACCCATCTCTGATTTTTGTTTTAAATATCACACCTGTATCAATGTTTGCTTGAGTGAATTGCAAGCTGAGTTGACTTGCCAGCTCCTTGTTGAGCAATACGAAATACCCAACATGTGTGGAGTGACCTTTGGGGCCCTGAGTTGTGCTGAAACAAACCCAGCCTTCCATTCCTGCCTGAGCTAAGGACCAGCTCTCCTTTTGGAGAGCAAACACCGAGAGGGATTGTGGATTCTGAAGATCTCCTGTCTGCAGATAAGGAGTCAGTACCAAACTCTGCACATAGAGGTGGGATTGTTTGTAGTGACTGTTCCTCTGCGGGAAGGAGTCGTAAGGAAAAAGGATCAGTTTTCTGGTACTGGAAAGGAAAACAAGCTGCTTTTGGAGTTAGTCCTGTGGCAAATGAATTGCTTTTCTGCAGGAGTGACGTTTCTTTGAGGTGACAGAGTGGTGCTTCAGAGGGTATTAAGGGGGAAGGGCTTCTTGCACAACCCAGGGCTGAGTCTTGCATGGCTGTGGTGGTTCCACACCTCCCTCACTGGCCTTGTTTCCTTCACTAACCAATAGCTGACCATGAAGCAGTTAAGGAGTCTATGCTATTGCTTCCCACAGAGCTCTTCCAAAGTAAATCCTAAGTGTGCTGTGTGTGGGTTTTTGGTTTTTTTTTCCTCCTGATGGTTTGCTTTTAATCAAGCCTTTCCTTAAGAAGGTCATCTGCCAAATAACCAGTCTTTTTTTTTTTTTTTTTTTTAAGTAGCAATTATAAATCATCTTTTAAACATAAAGGAATATTGCATTGGTGCTTACAGTTCACTTATTCGACGTCAAATTTCTAGCTTCAACCTTGCTCTCTTCCTCATGTTTCAGTTTAGCTGCACAGCAGCTTCATAATTTTCATTCTCAAGTGCTCTACCACAGTTTCAGCAGGGTGGTGCTGATGTTAGATTTCAGCTGGAGTTGGTATTCCCTTTTGACTGCAATGATATTGTTGCAAAAGATCTGGCATTGCCTCCTTTCTTTTGCCAGATTTCCATGTTAAGCTGAAAAGTCTTCCTCTGAAGACTTCCTCCCATTTTTGTAGGGAGAAATACCATTTTGTAGAGAAATACCAGGGTCTTTTTTTTTTTTCTTGTCTGTGTTGCAGATACAGTCAAGATATGTTTGCTGGGCCAACAGGGCAAGGCCAATTCTATTTTTCATTTACAAGGCACTTTACTTCCAGACAGCTAAAAATACATGAACTGCTCAGTGTTTCTGCAGTTCGTTCTTTCATTTTAAAGCTAAATACAGATCAAAAGAATTAAATCAAATGAGGGGCTTGAGGTAAAAAGTAAGTTTTGTCTAGCTAAATGAAAAAGTTACTTGCAGCAGTGTCAGTGGGATTTTTTACTGCAAATAGGGCTTTTTTGCAAGGCTACCCAAAGTTATTTTTGGCAAAAAGCATGCTAGATACCGTGGTTAAGAACGTTCTTCTATGTAATGTTTTGTGCTATAATAACACGTGATTTAAACGTAAGTCTTTGAATAGAAAGCATATGTAAAATTGATCTGTCTGTGGGGACTTTATGCTTTTGCTGGGGACTTCAATTCCTGGTCTAAATCTTTTAGTGAATAGAGATCTTCTCTGATAGTGTTTATCCTTCTTTTTATAAGAGCTGTGCAGTCCCTTTGGCTGGTGAAGGCATTTCTGATTCGATATCCAAGTGTGCACTTAATCCAAAGACACTCAACTTGTAAGCCTCTGTACAAAATAGGCAGTCTAAACATAGACTAGCATATGTCTGTCATAGCATAGCATATGGCTGCACATGAAGGTAGACTGATTGCCAAGCTAGATTTTGTTCAGGCAACAGTATGTATTTGTTACAAGGTCCACTGACCTGGCAACAGATGGCAAACTGAGCCTTTGATATTTTGTGGTGTCCTGGAGCCCAAGAACTGTTCTGAGAAGTTTATAAAGTGTAGAGGGCAATGAAAGCTGTGAAGGATTCAAGTGACTACATAGCCTTAGTGATGCTGTTCTGTTGGTTGTAGAGTAATACAGGAAGGTACTTTTTTTTTTTTGGTTTTTTTTTTTTTTTTTTTTGGAAGAGGGTATTTCCTGAATTTCTCATAGAAATTCAGTCTGAAAGCTGAAATAGAGCAGATTAATTTGTGGGATATTAACTTCTCTGGCTGGTTTATGAAATACAAATTCTTCCTCCATCACAGGGTGAGGGCTAAGTGAAAATCTATCATCATTGTTATGCAGGAGACTCAAATGAGGATTACAGTTGCTTATCTCTGACTTTACTCTGTGAATCCTTTTCGTTCCTCTCTCCTTCGTTAGCTCCATCTCCTCCTTCCTATAAACGTGTACAACAGGTCTGTCTTTGGGAACCAGTAAATAGAAGTCTTCATTGCCAGTTACAGAGTGAAAATTTTCAAGGCTGAAGTGGAACAGTTCCAGGCTGAAACTGAGTAATATGACTAGTACAAGAATTGAGAAGGTGACTGAGTGATGTTTATTATATCTGAGGTGTGGATGAGAGGATTTGATCAGCTCTTTTAATACTTCTGTGACTTGGTGTGCTCTGATGGATATAGTAGTGGATTGAGCTGCACAGATGTTAGCAGCTAGGCACCTGCTTTTAGTTTAGCTGCCTTTAGATTAAGAAGCTTTTACTTAAAATCACATTTCTTCCAAACTGTCACACTGTTAACTGTCAAAAAAAAAAAAAAAAACCCAACCCAAATCAAAACAAAACAAAACAAAAAAACATTGGCAGAAAACAAGCAAGCCAAAACAGAAAAACCCAGAAGACTTACCAACAACCCAAAGCAAACTTTTACCCATTGCTTTCAGTTGTGGATTCTTCAAAGGCTTGCTGTGAGTTAAGCTCATGTCTTTTGAGTCATTTCTTTAGCATAACAGAAAAATTGTTGTGACTAGGCATTCGTTTTGGAGCTTCTACTAGTGAGTATCCAGGAGAGATAACCTCAGGGGCTAGTAAATAAAAATAACCCTCTAGCAAAAGTTACCGTTTCTTTTCTTTTTTGATATTTTCATTAAATGGATTTTTGTGAGTGCTCTTTTGTCGTAACGAGACGTCATCCTCAGCCCAAACTCAGATGATCTTTAAAACTCAGTAGATCATTAACTGGCTCCTTAGGGCCCTTGGCATGTGACTCAGAGTGCGCTATGCGGACGCGGTTCTTGAGTAACTTTCCACTGCGCTGTTTGCCCTAACAATAAAAGGCCCATTTAAGTGAACTTCTTTGGAAGAATTGTTCTATGTGAATTGTGCCACCGTACCACTTCTGAAATGCTAATCAAATTGATGCTTTAATAGCAGTTAAGCAGTTCAAACTGCTTGACCGGTTGGGGCATTCCAGTCATGAGGAGGAAGTGCAGTTCTCAGAAAGATGGAGAAGGCTGGTGACAGTTCCCTAGCTAGTGAGGGCTGTCTTGGGGGGGCTGTGCTATTATCACTCTATGTGCATGAAGTAAAAAAGGAAACAAAGCCAAAATACAGTTATGAGCAGTTTTTCCTGATGGAAACTGTAAGAACAGAAACAAATTAATTACAGTTGCTGCTACTGTTTGTTTTAGCTTGCTTGTAAGGTGACTTTCCTGTTTAAAAGGCTAGGAATAAACTTGAATTTCTAAAGGAATATAAGAAGTGCTAAAATTAGGAACTTATTAATCCTCTTAAGAGAAGGTTCCTATTTTAGAAGATAGGTGACATGGCTACAATTTTAGGGCAAAATCTTTTACCTGTTTCATATTTGACCACGTCTTCTGAAACCCATGCAGCTGAACTTATTTATGGTGTACCAATTATTTTTGGTTTAGCTATTATATTTAAAGAGGAGGAAGAAGTAGGCAAAGAAATCAGGTTATAGCTGTTTTCCATTAGATGAATTAATATTCTTTAGTTAGAGGATGTACTGAACGGCCCCAGCTCTGTCAACTTGTCCTCATAGGAGGCATGTTCCATCCCTTGAAATCATTTTGGTTACCGTTACTGTAGCAATAAATAACACTTATTCAATTGTTCTGTCTCCTTGTTAGTAATAGATGGAAGCAGTCACTACATCTTAACTGGTCCTAACCTCTCTGCAGAATAATGAAAGTGTAATGTAAATAAGAGAAAAACAGAATGCAGGTGTACACCTATCATTTTCATACACTTTTTAATGTAAGAATTTATGAGTGAGTTCATCAGTATTTCAGCCAAGCCTGGGCGTCTCTGAAGCACAGAGGAATGGTTGCAATTTTCTTTTTCTTGAACCTGCAAAGAACAGGCAAATAGGGAACCAAAACTTACCATTCATTTTCCTACTCTTTTGAATATAGTCAGCCAGTAAGAATTATTTTTGGTGTGTCCATGGTGCCGAGTTAAGAAACACTATACCTGTAAGCTCCGAAGTGGCTGCACAAATCCTTCCCACTGCAACCAGAGCCTTTCCTTGGCAGCATCTCCAAGCTGCCATGCTGATTCTTGATGCGAGAACAGAGTGCACTCAGGACTGTTCAGCCTTCTCTCTTGCAGCAGATCAACTAATAAGCCCCAGGTTCCAGGGAGGGAGCCCAACTCTGAGCTGTTGCTTAGATGCAGTCACACCGTGAACATTCTTAACTTGCCATCTCTGAATGCCTCAGGGTGACTGTGGCTGTAAAGCCCCATGTGCTGACTGCACTGTGGTTTCTAATGCTGGACTGCATGTTCTAAGTCATTAAAGTGTGAAAAGAGCTTAGTAAAGGCCAGACACCAATAATGGTGCCTGGGCAGTGACTCTCTTGCAGAAAGTGAAGGTGTTTTTTTTTCTGGTAGTTGCAAACTAGAAAGGTGCATTTTAGAATTCACACAGCAGTCGGTGGCTCTGTGCAGAAAGATAGCTTTACAGGCCTAAAATGATTTGTTTTTATAGAGTGGGGATGTTTGCAGGATATTTGGAACCTCAGACTCCATCAGAATTTGACATGTTTGTCCTTTAAGACAAAAACATGGAGCATAAAATCATAGAATATCTCAGGTTGGAAGGATCCAATAAGGATCATTGTGTCCAGTCCATATGGAGATTTATGGGATGAGGGTGACTCTTTTTGCCCTTTTAAGTCTTTCTTTAATATGAGACAGATACTTGACTTAGCAATTAGAATAAGTTACATTTGGAGATGCAGTAGGCTTTTCCCAGTCATATACTACGTTGAGATCTCTTCCTGTTTGGTTTTGGTGGGTTTTCTTCAGAATTATTGAATTATTTTCCTTTGTTCTTTGTGCACATAACCAACGCAGCTGTTATTTTCTTCTTCCCTGCGTAACTCTTTCTACTTTACAAGATGAAAGTGAAACCCTTTGGGTATTAAGATCTGTACTTTCCAATGTTTAAATTATGTTCTTTTTTGGCCAAGATATCCATAACTTAATAACTTAAATAGTAGCTCCTGAAGTAGGACGCAGTTCACACCTCAAACATTAATTAATTTCTGAGCAATGAGAACTAACAAAATAAATGTGTCTTGATTTTCAGTAGAGCTTGAGGTCTGTTGTGTTCTGAAGCTTCCGCGTACACAATTATGTTCTATAATATAACACTGTGAATGTATTCTGCTAGGTGAAGGCGGAGCTTAAATGAATGTTCTGGTTACTCAGTGTTCAGTGGCATCATGTTTTTGTTCTGCTTTGTTTTTTTCTTCCCCAAAGACTTTTATTCTGTAGGGAATTTTGTCTGGGAGCAAACCCAAATGATGGCATTTTGAATGGATTTGGAAGTCATGTATTCAGACAGCTTCTGGGTATGTAAAAATTGAGCTATCTGGTGTTTTCAGACTTATTTGTTTCCACTAATTCCTACTTATGTCCTCCATGTTAATCCTTTGTGATGGAGAGCTTTACTTTTATCCCCAGGTAACCACAAGCACGGTCCAGTTCATCTTAATAAGTATCCTGACTTTAAGGGAGAGATGATAAAGCTGCCTAGAAGGAATAAATTTCAGTATTGAACAAGAAGTAAAGGTCTTCATCAGTATTAGAACTCTGCAGTCCAGGTCATTTGTGGGTAGGGGAATTTTCCTGAAACCTTCAAGGACATTACTGCTTGTTTTCTGATAGTCTGCACGTAGCGTGGTGTACATGCACAAACACAGATCTCAGTTTCCCCTAATGTCATGTAAAGCGTCCTAACTTTATTGCTCTATCTGCAAACAGAAGGAAACTTGTTTCTTGGGAAGGATCTACTTTGTCTAGACTTGTGATCACACTGATGGTCCTGCTGAAGCAACTCAGTGGCATCAGCCTCACCCTTTGGACCTCCCTCTCACTGCAGCTGAATCCTCACTTCTTTCTGGTGCTGTTCTCTGAGCTGTCTTGTGGGTATCATATTTTCTCTTTTTTCTTCTTTTTTTCCTATCTTGGCCTCCTTAGGGCACAATTCCTTTCTCACTTTGTAGGTGCTTGGATTCACACCCTCCTTGAAAAAAGAAATCAAAAGAGAAAGCGTAGCAGATACTGTATGTTTGTGTTATTTCCTCTTGACTTCTACTTGGATTATAATCCTGCTTAAACAACAGTGAAAAGCCTTGGAAGAGATCTGGTCCTGTTGACTCTCTCCAAAACTGTTGTGACAGTTGTGCACTCTTGTTAATTTTAAATACAGTACTCATGTGCTTCTACCTTTCCACTTCAGAACTCAGCCTCCTTTCAGACTTTGACATCAGAATAACATCATCACTGTTTTTCAGTGCTTTCTGGAAGACCTTTTTTTAGCTGTTTAGTATTTGTGGTGTTTCATTCCCTCAAGAGGGAAAGGCTGCTTTGCATTCTTCTCTGTGCTCAATACTGAGAGATTTAGAACTCGTTCTTCCAGTGGAGGATTTCTTGGAACTATGTGTGGGAAGTTGCATTGCTTTAGGAGGTGCAGTTTAAACCTTTGAAGAGGTAGTAGGTGAGAAACGGGTTCAGATCTGTCTGGAGGATATCTTCTGCCCTCCCAAACATCAGCAGCACTCCAGAGACTGCTTGGGCTCTCACCCAAGGAACAGCAGGCAGTGTGCTGTGAGAGGCTGTCTGACCAAGCTTGGGCATCCACCTTTGCTCAAGCAGTCTTTAAATTGAGCCTTGCTCATTTCTCAGCCCCGCCTCTTTCAAGATCTGCTTTTCTCTTCTTTCTCCCGCAGGATCCTTACGAACTTTGTGTTACTGAGTCTGGATTTTGAGCTCCTCGGCTGCACTGCTCTGGGGGTGTGATGCCTCTACCACACGTAATTGCTGGAAGAGCCTCTGAAATACAAATGGCGCTGCAGATAATTATATGCCCATCGGGGTTGTTAAACTGATATAAATAAGGCAAAATGTGAAAATGAAAAATGGAAATTAATTTTAGTTGCTTGGCTTTAAAATCTTCCCTTGTATTCCTTTGTGGTTGATTTAGTTGTACTGCAATTCCTCTGACTGTAAATCATTTTATGTAGTTCTGCCTCTCTTTTCTTTTGCTTTTCTTTTTCTGCAGTAGTGAAATTGCTTAATTCTTGGAGTCAGTGTTTACTGCTTAGGTGAGGTGACTGTGTAAAAAGACACCTTGTTGGAGTGAGACCCATTGGTTCCAGACCAAGAAATAACTGACCCTAGGAAAGGGGTGGCTGCCTGCTTCAGTAGGGGATTTGGACTTCGTGATTCCCAGAGGTCCCTTCTAACTCCGACAATTCTGTGACTGTGCATTAAGATATTTCATGTTAATGTCTGATACTATTTTGGCTTTTATTATATTGACTGGCACTTTGAGGAATAGCTGAGGCAGTAATTTAAGTGCTTTGGGCAGTTCTGGGGACATTCTGCCTATAGGGGTGTTCCAGCCTAAGTGCTACAAGTGATGTGTACGAGGAGACTGCAGCAGAAGCGAGTTATACATTTTTCTGCATGTTTATGTAGATAGTGTTGTGTGGGTGAGTGAGAAAGACTGCCCATAATTCCTCTGATATAATTAATCCCTTATGCAAAGCAAATTCTTCCTTTTGCTTTTTTTCCTCCTTTTCAACAATATGTTAGTTGTAGAAACAGTCAGTCTGTAGTTAAAGTGTATTTGTGTCATAGTTTGTATTATGCTGTGCAAGATTAGATTAGCATACAAATTCTATAAAACAAGCAGTAGGATTGTTCTGCTGTTCAGTTGCTGCAGCAAATGATTTTGGGGGCTGGATTTTATAGCTTAAGCAATTCAAGTGGGAGAATAGGGAGAATATATGTTCCATTGTGGCTTCCAGACCACAGTATAATCGGGATTTTGGGGAAAATAGGTCATGGCACAAACTTCTGCTGAAAAATGGCAGGCTTCTAAAGACAGCTGTGGTGCGACTACAGACTATGCACAAATGTGGACATGGGATTGGAGTGAAAAGTGGGAGCAGTGATCTCTGCTACACCCCTATTTTCCTCGCCCTTACCAAGCAAGAGCATCTCTTTTCCTTTTTGTCTCTTTTCTTGTTTCCACTTTTCTGATTAAAGAATTTCTTTTTGCTGGAGGAAAACAAATCAGAAGTTACACAAAATTGCCCAGATGCAGTTCTCCATAAATTTTGGCTAATGCTTTCCTGAAGGCCGTTCATTGAACTTTTGACCGCTGAAATGTCGTATGACAGTTATTTCCTATTATTCACCATGTAAGGAAGTATTTCAAAGTATTTTAACTGCGTGCATGCTTTTTGATGAGAGATCCTCATTTCTTTTATGCTACGAGAAAGGAATGGAGACTACACATGAATCTACGGGCATCCATTTATACTCTTTTTTCAGTCATTCACCAGCCTGAAAGATACCACTGTTTTTATTCACGCAACTGTTTTTGTATTTCTGAGCATCTTTAGCATCTTTATGCCTCTTTATGTTTTCCTAATGTATGCTGGCCTGTGTTTTTCAGCATGAATTTCTACCTTTCCCATTCAGCAGTCACTAGCAGTGATTTCGCGATGCTGTTGCTCTCAGTAATCAGTAGCTTCCTGCAGGAAAAAAAAAAAAAGTAACCAAACAATTTCCAGACTTCCTGTAAATGGAGGCCCTGTGTCCAGGTCTTGCTGACACACCAGAAAGCTGTGCTGCCATTCAGCCATGCCTCCTGGTTTTGTATCATCTGCAAACGTGCTGAGTATGCTCTGTCCCTTTATATGGGTCACTGATGGAGATATTAAACAACACTGCAAGAGCCTAAACTCTGCTATCTCATCATTGCTGCAGCCGAGGCTGCCCCCAACTTTCAAAATCTGAGAAGTGAATTGCTAACTTTGATCCAAGTTTTTTGAACTGACTGTACTTAGAAAGCATGTATCAAGTTTAGTTATGAATTCTAGCGGAATTCAGCGCAATAGAACTTATTTTGTGTTTATAAATGACTGGATAGGTGAAATGGGGCATATGTGGATGTGAGCAGGGTGGTCATTCATGGGGCATAAACTAATGGTTCAATTTTTTTTTTATTTTTTTTTTCTTCTTGCAATTGTATTTGCTTTTCCACTCTTGCATGGTTGCTCATCTTTACAGATTCTGTGCCCTGAATCAGCGTGCATTTTGCTGAGCTGCTCTGTGGCACTGTTGCGCTCTTAAGGAATAAAAAAAACCTTACCATCATGTGGAATTGGCTTGAATTTTCGGAAACTTTTAAACTCTGTTAGTAATGCAGCTTCCTGCACACTAACATTTAAACCTTTTTCAGGCCGGGAACAGTTTCATGGCTTGGGATCGATGTACTGCAGAGGAGCAGCCGCCGTCATCCTGACGTACGACGTGAACAGCCTGCAGAGCCTGGCGGAGCTGGAGGACAGGTTCCTGGCACTGACAGACAGCGCCAGTGCCGACTGCATCTTCGCTATCGTTGGCAATAAAGTGGACCTCAGCGATGACTGTGCGTCGCCGCCTGATGAAAACAGACCTGAGAAGGCCGTTGCCGGCTGCAGCTCAAAGGTGCGGAAACAAGTCCGCGTGGAGGATGCGATTGCGCTCTACAAGAAGATACTGAAATACAAAATGCTGGATGAGAAGGATGTTCCAGCAGCTGAGAAAATGTGCTTTGAGACCAGTGCGAAAACAGGTTATAAGGTGGACTACCTCTTCGAAACTGTGTTTGACATGGTCGTACCAATAATCGTACGGCAGAAAGCTGAGGGGCCATCGCAGACTGTAGACATTACTGACTACAAACCGGCCAAAAGGACAAAATCTGGGTGTTGTGCCTGAAAGTGATGTGGCAAAAAAAGGGGGAGGGACTGCCCACTGTGGCAAACAGAGGAGCGTTTGCAGCACACCAGAGAGGAAAAAGCAAAGAAAAAATAGACTGTAATGGCTTACAATCCCTAAACAAAACAGAAAAAGCACCACGGAGTTTCCTGAGCATTAAATGTTTCTGAGAAACTCTGTGTATGAGAATGGGAGTGAAATGATGGAAGACGTACCCAGTTTCCAAGGGCTTCGAAGGCAACTTCTGTTGGTACATTTGATAGTGACAATCATTTGAACAGTTTAGAAGAAGTCTTATTTTTCAATGACTCGCCACTTCATGTTACGTGAAAACGATCTATTTGTATAATCTATGCAGCTTTCAAATGGTTATCATCTTTTCCCTTGTGATTCTGACTTTGGAGGATAGAATGCACGGTACCTTTTTTATTCTTAAAAAAAAAAAAAAAAAGAAAATTCAGGTATAATTTATATATGTAGCTAATAAAGAAATTACTGTCAGGTCCAGCATTGTAAGATTCTGAAGCTGTGCTATTAAAATCACTGTGGATATGTACTGTTAATATGGAGCTTTGTTACTGTGAATTCTAATGTGGGCTTTTTTTGTCTCCCGTAGCTCTTTTCTGTGGCTAAAGCAGGAGGAATAGGAAAAGAAACTCTCTATACAATAGAAAGCACACCAAGGAGTGCTAAAGAGGTGCATGGCATCTCTTCTGCCTGCAGTAAAGAGGAGGGGCTAACACTTCACACTGCTCCTAGGGCTTCCCAACCAGTGTCCCACACAGACACTGAATACTATACATCCAGTTTTGCAGGTTCTTCTGCAGGGTCTCCTTCATCTTCCTACAGACGCTGCTGGCATGGTTTCTCAAAACTAGAAAGTTAGCTGTTTATATGCATTGTGTCTCTCTGCATCCAACCCAGTTCGTGGTTGTTTGGCACACAGGGAGACCATTCTCAGATGAATGAGGAACTATGTTATTACTGAGTATATATTAAACTTTTTTTTTTTTTTACTAGTGTATCCTCTTGAGCAGCTTAGCTCTTTCACATCAGGGTGAAGGTGGAAATAGCTTTATTTCCTTGTTGTAAGTGTACTGAAGCATACTTGGTCTTGTTTGTGACCAAAGTGGTCCGTGAAATGTCTGCCACTGGCTTTTCTGCATCCCTACAGTCTTTCTAAAAGCTCTGACTTAGGTATTTTTACTGAAAGAGATGCAGCAGAACCCATTCTTTGCCCACAGGACTACACTTGTGGAATATACTGTTTATGGTTTTGCTTTGCCAGCAATGGGGGACAAGGGAGTGCATAGCAGGACCCAGGAGACCCAGCAGTACATGGAGGCTATTGGTAAGAGCTCAGGAGGGAATCTGGGTTGTTCAGACTGCATGCTGGCCCCATTTCTTTGCTGCTTTCTGAAGTCACATTCAAGCAAAACTTGAAGGTTTATGGGACTTGATGTAGGTTTTCTTTTTTTTTTTAATTAGTAACTTAAGCTCTGCTACAGCTGAGCTCCATTTGACAGCACAGTGTTGATGCACACGTGTCCTGCTTTTTCTCGTCTTAATAACCTCCCCAGCTAACACCTGGTCATGTAGAAAAAAGCAACTGCTTCAGGAAGGTGAAAATGGTGCAGGAGAGCTGCTGTCCTGACACGATTTGGGGTTCTGCAGTTGCAGTGAGCTGGGGATGCCACCAGCATGGAGGCTGCAGTGGGCGCCATGGCTTGTGGTGATGGGTGGAAGCTGCACAGGGAGATTTTTGACACCAGGCAAGTAGAGGCTGAGCTCTCCAGTCAGTCAAAATTCCAATCCCCTGAGTGCTGAGGCAGTACGTGGCTGTGCCCTTTGGGCACGTCTTGGCTGTGTCCCTCCTTAATGCCAGCTCTTCTGTGTCCTGCCAAGTGTTGTGTATTACCCTGCCCTCCCAAAGCTGCTTTTCTCATTAACAATTCCAGTGCATGGTCTCGACTCGGGCCTTTCATGGCTGTGCATGGGTATGGCTGTGCATGGGTATGCCTCTGCATAAGAGTTGCCACTGTTGTGTGGAGCACTGCCTGCCCTGTTGCAGATAAGGAAACTCATTTTCCAAGTACTTATTTTTCCCTCTTTTCCATGTTATGTTTGTCTAGATTACATGCAGCATGCAGACAGCAAAGCAGATACTGTTTTTGGTGACACCAGGTGATCATGAGCCATGGGCCTGCCTGTACCAGCTGAGCCAGGCTGCCACCTGAGGGGTAGGTCTGCATGGGACAGGCAGTGGTGGGTCTGCAGCCAAGGCTGGGCTGCCTGTCTGCTTTGGCTTGGCCATGGCTTTCTCCATGTCACAGTGGAAAGCCCAACAATATTCAGGCTGAAAGCAGTGCAAGTGAGCAACCTCACGCTGGAGCGAGGCAGGGGTAGGGCTGCAGTCTGTTGCCCAGATAAGGTGCAGCCAAACCCATAAAGGGGTGAGCGTGCACCCTGCCTGCTGGCAGCAATTGGATACTGCCCGTTACAGGGGCATGCCTGCTGCTGTGCCTTGCCGCTGTTCTATTTCCAGCTGCCTTGGACAAGCCCAGTCATGCAGTGTACTTGGCAGAGTTGGTTGATACAGTGAGAAAAGCATTGGTGTCACCTGGTCGAGTTGCATTGATTTTACTCTGGCTGTGCTGGTGCAGCAGTGCTCTGCTGCCAGAGGAAGGGGTTGTATCTTTGCTGACCTTTCTCCACACTCAGCAGCGTGCTCCACTTCAAGGGATTTTCAAACAGCAGAAGCTTAGGAAACAAAAGTGCTATGTTTAGAACGCTAAGTTTCTAAACGGTGTGTGGATCTGAAGCACATGACATACGCAAACAGAACATGAAACTTTGCACATAAATGGCATGATTTTTTTCCACCTCCTTGTTTCTTGACCCATGCCCACGTTTTGACTCATACCGTTCTGCTGTTCAATGCTGGGCAAACAGCTTGCGAGTCAGAAACAAGAGAGGAAACGCAACTTTTGGAGAAGGACCCGTCTGCTGAATTCCTCAAAATGAACTAGCTGCAAAAGAAGATTAGGCAATGCATCAGTCATTGAAGTCTTGAGTGCTCAGCTGTTGCTGCTGACACAATAGTTGTCACTGGTTTGTATAACCTCAACTCGAATTCTCGTAAAACCTTTCAGCTGCTGCACTACAGGCATTGCAAACTGTAAAAACCCTCAGTGATGTAATGTCCGGTTGTCCCACAAGTATGTCTGTCTGGAAAGATCTGGAAGAGGCAAATTGATGACTCTCAGGTGTCTGTCACTGCTGTGTGCAATCTGAAAGGACGGGTAAATGTGGAACAGATTTGGCTGACGCGGATGGCAGCGTTTGCAATTCTAGGGATTTGGTTTAGCTGAAAGAAACAGTGGCAGATTTGGTTTGTTTGGAGCCTGCCCTTCATCGCTCCAGTACGATCAGTGAGCTGATTTCAAGCACAGGGAAATTCTCTGCTTGTGGATCTATGTAATTACATGCACAACTAATGTAGGCCAGAAACCCTGCTGGCTGAGAACTTCACCTTCACTTGCACTTCACATTTTTGCAGAGGTAACACTTGTCAAAGTTGGTCAGTGTTGGTGTCCTGGACATTGGTGAACATGAATAATACCTAGCTTTAATTTGCTGCATCACCATTTATTGACTTAAAATTTCCCTTTGTGACAACAGGTGAAATATCACCACGTCAGCCTAAAAGAGCAGCTCCTGAACTGCAGGTTTCCTCTCGGAAGGATTTAAGTGCCTCAAAGTGTATTCCTGGTTGAAGAGTTTGAATTTCAGGAAGGCTCTTCATAGCAGTGCCTCTGCTTTTTTATTGCCTTAGATACAAAGCAATTCAAAAGAGCCGTCCATATGCATTTTATTTTAGGAAAACAACAACAACAAAACCTGCTAAAAAATGGAAATAATCAACAAATAAAGGTGTATAAAAAAACCCATTTATTTATGACACAGTGAGGATGGAATGTAATTACAAAAGCCAATAAGCACCCGAAGCAGGAGTGAACCAGTGACTTTGATATCAGCAATTATTTTTCTCTTTGATTTCAGTTTTTGGTGTTTGGGAATATATAACCAGACTTTGCCAGGAGGAAGAGAATAATTTGCAACTGATTCTTCCCCCCCTTCTCCTGCAGCAACGACAGGCAACTGGATTAAATTGCTTTCTTCTCTAGAAGGGAAGAGCTGCCTATCTGGGGATTTCCCAAACCTGGCATGCAATGACACAGTTCTTCATGGGAAGAGATGGTGCCAAATAAATGCCATGCTTCCTTCCCCTTTGTTTTCATAAGCATGGGCTCCAGCTTTGGAGGTGATGTGGCATCAAGCCGTAAGCTGACCTGGAAAGCCTCCTACGTGCAACTGCTGCTGCAGCAGCACACAGTCACTACCTGTGGCTGCTTTCAGAAGGGAAGAGCTGCAATTCAAAACCACTCGGTGCTGCTGTGAGTAGCATCACACAGGTGAATGCCCACAACACAGAGGACCTTTGTAATCACAGCACCATGGAATATCCTGAGTTGGAAGGGAACCACAAGGATCACATTGACATGGTGGTGCGTTTGACATGGTGGAAGGAAGGAATGCCATTCAAAGGGACCTCAACAGACTTGAAGGGTGGGCCTGGGTGAACCTAATGAGGATCAGCATAGCAAAGTGCAAGGTTTTGAACTTGGGCCAGAGGAATCCCAGGCGTTTATACAGACTGGAAGGAGCAGCCCTTGAGAGCAGCCCTGCAGACAACCTGGGAGTCCTGGTGGATGAAAAATTTAGCATGAGCCAGCAGTGTGCTCTTGCAGCTCGGAAAGCAAATGGGCTCCAAACTGGCCGGCAGATACAGGGAGGTGATTGTCCCTCTCTACTCTGCTCTTGTGAGGCCCCATCTGGAGTACTGTGTGCAGGTCTGGAACCCCCAGTACAAGAAAGACAGAGAGCTGCTGAGAGGGTCCAGAGGAGAGCCACTAGGATGATCAGGGGACTGGAGCACCTCCCCTATGAGGACAGGCTGAGGGAGCTGGGCTTGTTCAGCCTGGAGAAAAGAAGGCTGCAGGGTGACCTCATTGCAGCCCTTCAGTACCTAAAGGGAGCCTACAAACAGGAGGGGAATCAACTCTTTGAAAGGGTGATAACAGCAGGACAAGGGGAAATGGTTTCAAGTTGAGGGAGGGAAGATTTAGGTTGGATGCTATGGGGAAATTCTTTACAGAGAGAGTGGTGAGGTGCTGGAACAGGCTGCCCAGAGAGGTTGTGGATGCCCCATCCCTGGAGGTGCTCCAGGCCAGATTGGATGGGGCCCGGGGCAGCCTGGTTAAATGGAGAGGTTGGAGCTTCATGATCCTTGAGGTCCCTTCCAACCCTGGCCATTCTGTGATTCTGTGATCACTGAGTCCAACTCCTGGCTCCATTGGGGAGCACCCAACATTCAAATCCTGTGTCTGAGAGCAGTGTCTGGAGCACATCCAGAAAAAAATGGCCAGACTTGTAAAACAATATGCTGATGATTACCATATAGTCCCCTAACCAACATAGGAAAAGATAGCATTTTGTGGTCACTCAATTGTGGGCTTCTCTATTTTTAGTGACAAAGTGCTAGGAAATGGTGAGCCTTAAAAAAACCCCACAGATACAATGAAAAGCTGATTGCTCTGAGTGTGTTTGAGATGCCTGATCATAAAACAGTCATGGATTTTAACGGTGGATGTAAGCACCTTCCACTGTACAGTGTCAAAATTTTGCAAGGCTTTAACACTCAGCATGATCACGATGTGTTAATGGTTTGAATTGTAGCTGTTAGTGTTTAGCGTCGTGACAAATACCATAATAGAAGAGATGTATATATCAAAGTAAATGCAGTGGGTATCTGACCACGGTAAGCTTTTATTTCTGAAGTTTTTTGTGCTTCAAAGGCGTGAGTATTTGCAACATCTGTTAGACTAGCAAAAACATATATATGCACTGTATAGCAGAACACAGCACTAGGTCTGTGTGTTAATTTGTGTTACGCTTGTTTTGCTTTTATACACTTAAACATCATCTTTCCGTTCCGCTTTTGAGGTAATAAGTTAAAAAAGCACCAACATGATTTATTCAAATGTCTAAACATCCTAGAAAGTTTCACTGTACAAGTACTAGATGGTAAGCAGGTTCCTTACACTATGAAAGGCTTCTATAAATTTTTCATACAGACTTGACATCTGCTGATATGGCTTCGGATGAGTCCTGCCTTGAGTGTATCTGCCGAGGGCTTGCTTTGGAAGGGCTGGTCAATCGTAGTGAGCCAGAAGCTGTACTTATTGGCAAAGTAATGACAGGTTCCACGTGCCCCATTGCACTCGATGAAAGGAGTAGCCCTGAAATCTTCCAGGCAGCTCCCAGGAGAGACCAGCGACTGTCCTCCACCTTCATCACCGGCTGCAGTGTGCTAAAGGAGACAAGGAGGGCAACGTTCAGAGCACAACCTCAGACAATGCCATCAACACATTATGCATGGGAAGACAGGAGAAGCACTAGAAGTGCTCCTAATTCTTAAACCCAGAGCGACTGATCCTGCAGCTGTGTAAGATTAAGCGTTTGGCGATGCTTTATACTAAGGAACTATCTCAAGCGTTGATGCCATTTCTGACAAACATCTTTTCTAGAGTTAGGATTCTCCCTGTTGCAAATCTTATAAATGAGGAATCATGAAGGGCCCTTTCAGCGTCACTTCAGCCAGTCCTCTGCTCAAAGCTGCTTTGAGCAGCTTCAAAGTTGCACTGGGTTGTTCCAAGGCACAGACAAGTTGTTGAGATATCTGAGAATGGATTTTTCACCACCTCTATGGGCAACCCTGTTCTTCTGTTTTTTTCTCACTGAGAAGGATGTTTTTCCATATATCTAACCTGAATTTTCCTCATTATAAAGTCTTATTTATTTCACATAGCCTATAAGAAGTCTATGGATACAAAGATTTGGCTTCTATACAAATAACTAGCTTCCCTCTATCAGAATTTCATAAACTGCAAATTGCACCAAGCTTATGCATCTGAAACCACTCAGCTGCTACCTTTGACGCAGACAGGAGTAACAAGCTAATGTTACTTGTGTTCTGTCAAAGGAATCTCTGACCAAACAGGCGCTCCTGGTCTGCCTGAGGGCTTACAGCTACAGAAGTGACAGAGTTTAATTTTCTCTTAAAAACGGAAGGAATTTGCAATATAAATGAAAGCAGATGGAAAATACACTTGCTAAATAGTTCTGTAAACGTAGGAAGAAATCTGCTGGGTATGTATGTTTGCCTGCTCATGTTTTAATAAGCACTGTATTATAAAAGCGCCTAACTTTTGTAACATTACTGCCTTGGTTTACACTCAGAGGCCCACTGTGTTCATATCCACAAGGAAGACAAGTGGCCACCTTGGAGTGGAGCGAAGGAGTCTGAGCTGTGGGCAGGGCTGCATGTTGCTGAGGTTTTAGATTTATTTATTCTTTTAAGCACAACACGTGGGCTGTGTTACAAATCGCAAGATGATGTACTAAGCTGTAAAGCTTCAGAGTGAAACTGTTCTAGCATCCCTCTAGATAAACAAAGTTGGTAAGTAGAAGGACTGAACTCGGCACTGGTGAGGCCTCACCTCAAGTACTGTGTTCAGTTTTGGGCACCTCAGTACAGAAAGGACACTGAGGTGCTGGAGCAGGTCCAAAGAAGGGCAACAAGGCTGCTGAAGGGCTTGGAGAATATGGCCTACGAGGAGAGATTGAAGGAACTGGGGCTGTTCAGTCTGGGGAAAAAGAGGCTGAGGGGAGACCTTACTGCTCTCTTCCAGTATCTGAAAGGTGCTTACAGAGAGAGCGGGGCTGGTCTCTTCTCACTGGTGACAGGTGACAGGACGAGGGGAAATGGCCTCAAGTTGTGCCAAGGTAAGGTTACAATGGATATCAGCAAAAACTTTTTTGCAGAAAGGGCTGTTAAGCACTGGAATTGGCTCCCCAGGGAGGTGGTGGAGTCACCATCCCTGGATGTGTTTAAAAACCATTGGATGTGGTGCTCAGGGACATGATTTATTGGAGGGTTGTTAGAGTTAGGGTAGGATGGTTAGCTTGTGGTTGGACTCCATGATCTTTAAGGTCTTTTCTAACCTGAGCAATTCTATGATTCACAGCTTTGAGACCTCTGCAGCTGGATCTACAAAGCAGCCAGAAAAAAATCGCATGTGTTCTCCAAGTACTGGGTTGGGAGCAGTCCTGCTTGGCAACCTCAGGACAAGGACTGTGATATTCCTATGCTCAGTGTACACCAACTCTGCATCTCTAACAGCTTCCTTTTCTCTGGCCAGGGCTTCCTGTCCCTCTGCAAGGGTTACACCTTTCCAGGAAGCACTACAGCTGTGTGCCCTTTCCACATGAAATCTTACCAATCTCCAAGGCTGCTTGGGCAGGAGTCCATGGTGACTCCTTCATGATTGCGCCAAGGGAAGGAGGTGACAAATTTCAACCAAGGCAGTAAAACAATATGTAGCCTGAAATAACCAGAAGCCTGTTTCCCTTCTCTTTCAACAGCTGCATGAGAAGCAAAAAAATATGTATGACAAATACTTCAGTTGCTTGGAGTATTAGATGGGAAACTGAAGATTTGACTCTTCTAAAACACTTCTCACTGTATGTTCTGTGGTGCTGGCAGACTTTGTCCTGGCAAAAGCTTCTTGCTAAGGTGACAGCTTTGCCCTTAACAATGCTGAATGTTTACCTTTACAAACAATTAATCCTTGGCATTCCTGGGAAGGAACTATGAGATTGCTATCAAGGGCTTTTCCAAGAAGCAAGAGAAAGGTCAAATATAAGGCTTGTAAAAATCCTGATCTGCCTTTTCTCAAATCTTTTTTCTATAACTAAGTGAAAAATATCAAATTTCCTTTTTTTCCCTTTTTTCATAAAAAAGAAAAACTGAAACTTTTGAAAAGCAAATAATTTGTGGAAAAGATTAACTAGTGATATTCTGTGATGATTTCTGCCAAATGAATCTTATTCTGTTTTTCCCGCCTTAACAACATGGCTCCTTGCACTCCGGCACTGGGCTCCGTGCCCACAGCCCTGTGCATCCCGCTCCATGCCCACGGCGCTGTGCTGCAGCCCCTTTCCCTGACCCCCAGCTGCCCTCCCCTGACAGCTCCATGCCGTTCCCTCAGCCCTGTCGCTGTCACACAGAGCAGAGCTCAGCGCTGCCCCTCCGCTCCCTGTGAGGAGCTGCAGCCGCCATCACAACGAGGGGCCTCAGCTGCTTAGGGGGAATACATTGATGATTAACTTTTAAAGCAACAGGAGACTCTCTCTCTTTCCAGACTAAGTGTAACATTTTTGCATCTAACTCTAAATAGCAACGATTTTCAGTATCCAAAAGAAGGAGATTTATCTTGTTTTTCCTCCAGATCAGCTTCTTAATAGTGAGGTACGTCCCTGATTCTTTTTCTAGCTGTGAAAATGCTTTGTAGGCTTTGGTTGCACCTCAGCATGGCTGTACCTTCTAAGCCACAGCTGTCCCGGTGTTCTGCTCTCAAACACTTTTTGCACATAAAGACTCCAGACACTATTCTGACAAAGGACTCCAAATTACTATTCTAGCCATTTTCTCTGCAATTCACAGGAATTTTGCTTCTCATTTTTGCTTCCTAGGAATGACTTTCGTTGCTCCCCAGGTCCTCAGGATGAAGCATCGTTCTGATGTTACTGAATCTAAGACAGAGCAGCCTTCCTAGCATCTAAGACTCATGCTTAAAATCTAGTGCCATACAGAATGCGACACTGGAGAACAAATACCATAAGGAAGGAATATCCAATCCACAAACTGCGCCAGCCTTCGGGGCAGCGAGGAATAGAAGCTTCTTGGCTATGGACAGCAATTGCCACAGCTGGGGCCTCACACACAGAGCAGCGGCTGATATATGGCCTAATTTCTTCTTCTGCCACAGGCATCATTGGAAGAGGTGCTGTAGTTGAGAGCCAGTAGGATTTGTCATTTCGATTTGCATAATAACAAATATCCCCAGGGTTACAGTAGAGGAATGGCATTGTACTGAAACGAGCCAAGCAGGAGCCAGCCAGCCCTGTTGAAAAAAAAAGAAAAAAAAGAAATTATGGCAATCATTCTTGCAGAACGCAAGTGTTCACTTTCCTGCCCTTTCCTAAGTGAGTGTCAGTAAAACCTTGCAGTCCATAATGTCACTCGCTTTACAATTGCAAGCTCTCAGGGACACTCTATGGAGACATACAGTTTTTATCTTCTCTTTTTGGTGCTTCCTAAGCTTGCATACTGAAATCCAAGCTTTCTCTAAGTTCCATTTCTTTTTCTTCTTTTCAGTCAGTGGCATGGAGTTGAGGCTGCTGCTAGCAACACCTGCACGTACCTAGGTCCTGGTTGTGTGCTTTCTCTTGTCCCTCGAAGTACAGGAGGCTGTAGCCACTCCAGAGTTTGTTCATGCCAATTGGGCACATTGGCTCTTGGTCAGACTGGCTGTGCTTCACCAGCAGGTAGCCGATGCTAACGCTGCGACCCGGCATGCCTGGCAGCCCGGGGCTACCGGGGCGACCTGGCTGGCCTTAGATGAAAGAGAGAAGAATAACACAATTCAGTTTGTGTTCTCACAAATGCTCACTGATATTCCAGCTAAACTGCCCATGAGCAAAGATTAATTGCAAGATAACTCTTCTTATGGCAAGTTATTGTTTAAAAAGCTGTAGCTCTAGGATTAGAAAAGCTGATTTTGAAGCAGATTGGTGCTGTAACAGGCTCATTGGTTCCTAACATGGTGTATTTCACTATCAGAGCCAGGGAAAGCCACAGATAAAGTTCTGATGGATTTCAGCAGGATTTGTGCAACACAGATGAGGATCTGTTTCCTCACAACATTTTCTTAGTTTAAGATTAACCAAAAGCTTTTCTATTGCTTGCATTTGCTTCATATGGCTACAATTATGCTCTTTGTACTTGGCTTATTAAGGTGGCAATCTTGCTGCTCTTTGACTGGATAAAGACACAAGTATTTTTTCACAAATACAATCCCTTAAACATAATCTATCCAAGCATCACCTACTCAAACATTGTTTAAGTGCTAGCAAAACACTGTGCTGAAATAAACCAATATATACACTCAGATCAAAAACTTACTCTCATGAGTTGACTGCCATCTACACCTATCAAAACTTATTTAGAAAACAATGTGTCCTTTTTTACAAGTTAGTGGTGCCCTGTGAAGAATGTGCGAAGACATGAGCTTTCTCCAGCTTCCCTCCTCCCATCCAGTGATATAATACTTACAGAATAATTTAAAGCAGTGAAATGGGAAAGAGAGAAGAAATGCTGTGTGAATCTCTTACCTTCAAATCCCACTGGACCTTGAAACCCCATTGCTCCTTGTTCACCTCTGGATCCAGGAGGAGCTGGAATGCCACCTCTGCCCTGGAGTCCTGGTTCTCCAGGTAAGCCTCTGAAACCTTGCACCAACATTGATGAGCACAGTGACTTGCTCCGTTAACATGTACTCTATTTGCATGTGTTCAGTCCTGTCTGCCAGTTTTACCAGTTTACACTGAGAGCAAGATCTTACTGCTCAAAGAGCAGTGAATTCATTGGAAAAGATTGCTAGGATCAAGACTACATGACACCCACCACCTTAATCTTTCACTCTTGTTACCACCACGTGTTTCTAATGAGACCAGTAGTAAGAGGTGCGCTGTATCTGCTGTATGTGTCACTACATTTCCTGCATCAAAAGCATGCCCACAAGGATGAGTTTTTCAGTGACTTTTGGTCTTGATTTAACTGACTGTATCCATATTTGATGTTGCTTTGGCTGTGCCAATGTCGTCAACAGTTCTCTCCTGTTCTGCTTAAGTTCTGAGTGTTAGGAAGGAGAGGAAAGCCAGGACTCTAGCTTCAAAAAGCCCAAGTTTGACTCTCCTTTCTGAATCATATGGTTTTGAGTTGAAGACAACCAAAGCAGTGCACTGGTGGCCTCACTATTCACAGCAACTGAGTTGAGGAACGAAGTGTACAGTTCCTACCTGGTTCTCCTGGTGGACCTTGAGGTCCTGTATCACCTGGACTTCCCTGAGGTCCTGTACTTCCACGGGGACCTGGTGAACCTTGCTCAGCAACCAGCCTTGGAGGAAGAGGCGGCAACCCAGGAGAACCTGGAGGGCCCTGAAAGCCTGTGATAAGAAACAAGACAAAGCAGTTTGATTTAAAAAAAAAATAAAAAAAAAGCTTACTTGCCTTCATATGCTTTCATTCACAGATGTGTTGGTGTTACTTGGCTGCATATGCAAGAGAGGGACTGTTCTGAAGTGTCTGCAATACACTTCCTCCATTATAAGATTTATGGTTTTTATATTAGGAGAACATATATGAGGATGGGAATTGTTTTTTATTGGGCAGCATAAAGATAAGCTGAAGGAAATGAATGGTGCTCCCCTCAGTTACAACATATGAAGCTGGGAAGTTTCCCCCCCAAAAGCCAACAGCTTTCTGAGGTGGAGCATCATCTTTTTATGGGCTTCTGGAAACACAGATAAATGATGTATAAATTTCTGAACAACCAGTATGTATACTCTGCAGAATTAGTGTATACAAAGAAATCTTTTTTTCTCCCCTTGACAGTGGCTCTGATTTTGGAGTCATGACCTGGTATAAAGGCAGGGCCACCTACATCAGCACTGTGTGGCTGCTGTTTAGAAAGTTTAGAAATTAGTCACACATCTGATTGTAATTACTCACCAGTAAGTCCTCTATCCCCCTTGGGTCCGATGGGTCCCAGATCACCTGGAAATCCTACTGTGCCAATAAAGCCAATGACACCTTGTTCACCCTTACGACCTTTGATGCAAAAAGACATGTGACATTACTGTATTTGAACACAGATCACATGAATTCTGAAGTCATGACACTCAAACTGTTGTAGCATAGAGGGTTCCCCTCTATAGATGATCAGCATCTCCTGTCCTTACCTTTTGGTCCAGGATAACCGGGAATCCCAGGTCTCCCTTGTAGTCCAGGATCACCTCTTGTCCCTTTGGGACCAGCTTGTCCGCTCACGCCTGCTCGTCCACTTTCTCCCTTGCTTCCCGGTGGAGCTGGTATTCCAGGCTGCCCATGTAGTCCTGGATAGCCTGTTTAGAGCACATTCAAGCTGTAATCTGTTTAGACTGCCTAAATACCTGGGCACAGATGAAGGTAGAGGTGCTAATTGTATCACATCAGGCTTTATTTCCTTAATTTAAGCAGGGAGTTCATGCTCAGTTGTCTATCAGTCTTAATCTGCATCCTGCTCTCAGCCTGGCAGTGGCAGAGTAATTAGAGCACAGAGTTCCTGCAGAATATGGTGTTGTCACAGCCCTTGATGGGCTATCTCTGCCCCAGCAAATGCCCCACTTCACTGGGTGCCTCCCTGTTTTGTCCTAAATTTCCCAAGTAACTAGAGAGAAATCAGACATCCATGAATACATAATTGGTGCCAGGTGGTAAATATGCTAAGGACTCGGTGTTCCATGTACTTTGGTGCTTCAGCTGAACACCTGGATACAAATAACTGCTTCACTCTCTCTTGGCAGTTATGGCAACAGCTGCTTTTTCCAGAAGTACCTATTGCCTGAAGCTAAACTTGGCAGGTTTCTGTTTGCTACCTCTGCTGCCTGAGAAGAGAAAAAATGGACTTTGTTTCCAGGGAAAAAAGAATTTAATAATAATGGTTTTCAGTGGAGCTTCTCTGATGCTGCCTGTTGAAGCTGGGTTATGTGTGGATATGAATGCAAGATGCTTACGGCAAAGTAAAAGGGCCACGCTATTCCACATCAGCTGGCAGGTGATCTTCCTGTTCCTAGCCCACTCTCTTCCCTACTTTTACTGATTTTTTAATGAAATGACTGCTTGGGGAGTGGGAATCAGTATGCAGTCAGGCCAACTAACATATTCTTCACACTTGGAAACCCAGGTATTTTGTTGGTTTCACAGTCTGCCTGCTCTAAGTTTTTGCTGAGTTCACATTTCAATTTCCACATACTACATGGAGATGTATACATACACCTGCAACTTCTGCTACCAGTGCTTCACAGTGGCACTGAAGTTTGAAATGACTGCAACAAGCAAAAGGGCTATCAGCTTCTAAATATACAGTCACAGATTGACTCTTTCATGTGTGAAAAAGGCAAGCTCACAGCATGGAATTCTAGAGATGAGAAAAGATAATGCTTTCTTGTATAATTTCACATAGGAAAAAATTGGGAATAATTAAGAAAATGTTCTGCAGATCTGCAACTCCAGCACAGGGCTAAGATTTTAAAGCAGTAAATTAACATAATGCTTCTAAAAGCTGTTAAGAGAATTTTAGATGATTGATTAAATCCGCTGTTTGCATGAAACAACAAGTCCCTCCATCAGGGTATCCAGGAATGGCCTTTGGCATAGAGATCTGCTTCCTGGTTTTGTCTGAGAGCATCCCAGCATTCTGTTTTCAGGGAGCATTGAGACATGCACTTTAGTGTTGTATTTAATAGAGATACTTTACTGAATAAAGACTGAAACAAACTGCTGTTGCTAATTTTGTATTTAATCTCCTATTGTTACCTGATGGATACAACGCATGAATTACCTGGCACTCCATCTAGACCTGGTGAACCTATATCACCAGGATATCCTGATATATTGGAAATCCCAGGAGGGCCTGGAAGTCCATCCTGCCCAGGAATGCCAAAGGGTCCTTGGATTCCTGCAAAGAAGAGAGGAAATAATCAGTACTGTACTGCAAAGAAAATGGACGCTTTCAATTAGAAAGACTGACTTTTCACCAACTGCAAAGGATTGTATTTTCAAAGTGGAAACACCTGTAGTTCCCACTGATCTTTGCTTTTCTTTCCCCCTCAGATGATGCTGTGGAGGTGTTTTAAAAAGAAAACCTCAACATTAGTTGTGTTTCAAAGCTCTCTGGATAGTTAATTACATCTTGCTATGTGGAATGCTAATAATATTGTGTCTGCCAGGTTAAATATTACTTCAAAACAAGGAGTACTTGAGATATCCTGAGTATATTGCAGCAGACAAGAAAGCACCTTTGTTCCTCTGTGTCCTATTGAATAGGGATCACAGACACTTTGTTTTTCTGGAGGGTCGAATGAAACCAAAAGTTTGATTACAATTCTCTATAGGTGGAAGATGTTAAATGGCCCAAAAGAAGATAATAGATGGCCTTAGAAGGAGCTAAATGGCCAAAAATTTGCCTCACCTTTTTGTTCAAAATTATCCTTCCTTGCCAGGAAGCCACAAAACCCCCTTTGTTTAGTCATGTAAAAAAAAAACAAAACAACAAACTAATAATATTTAATTCAGATAAGCACAAACAAAATAAGCCAAATAGTTGTTTCTTCCAGAGCTTGATATGAAATGTCTGAATGGTGTTAAAGAATATGCATCCTGTTAGTAAGGACAAAGCAGAATACAAAGAACAGCCACTGAACAGTTCAAGTAGAGGGAGTAAAGTTTTATGCCTCTGCCAGTCCTTGGTGCTTTTAGAGTTAAAAAACTGGAAAACTTATTAAATGATATGGTAGTTAATTGTTTCATCCATAGCATTGGTCTGGAGACTCCCTGATGGAAGAAGAACTGGTGGTGCACTGCACTGAGGTAACTGCAGCCTGCTATAGCAAGGTGGGTCAGAGCTGGAAAGCTGTACGCTCACCTGGCACGAGGGCGATGGTGTAAGTGAAACATGGTGCATGCAAATAGAGTCCAGGAGGTATCAGGAGGAAAATCACACATTAACGGACTGTGAGGCTTTCAGGAGAAAGGTAAACATTGAATGTTTTGCAATGAAAAGAAAGAAAGAGGACAGCCACAGTGCTCGTGTAACTGGAGCCTCTTTAAAAATATTTTGGGAGCTGGTGGCTGAGAGCAGCCTCTGGCATCTGCAGTGTGCTGAGCTCTGGTGGGAGTGCAAGGGGGCTGCTGCTGTGGGGAAGGATGCAGGCCATCCAGAAGGGGTTAGCATGTCCTGCTTTGGGCAGTGCATTGTTTCTGAGTAACGTCTGAGTAAGCAGAAGCTACAGTGTAACTTTCCAAGAAGTAACTACAGTGACTTTCCCCACATTGGGCACTGCTTCTGTAGCTCTCCTATGCAGCTGTCTATGCTGTATTGCACTTCATGACATCTGTAACACCCGCTAATGGAACAAATAATAAGTGGATCCCATTCTGCAGTATACAGACCTGGAACACCTCTGTCTCCCTTCTGACCCGGCGGGCCTTGGCTGCCCTCCACTCTGCTCGGCTCTCCTGCTTCTCCTTTGTCACCCACAGGACCTGGGAAGCCTGCAGAGCCATAGCCATCTGGACCTGTTGTGGAATTGTTCACAAGTGAGAAGAAATGTTTCCTCACATAGAATCGAGTCAGCATTCTCACGTATATGTAGAGAGCGTATGGATGTACTACATGGAGTGGCTCTTAATGGAAAAGGAAAATAATGAGGATTTAACTTTACTCAAGGAAAGAAATTATGAAGGTGTATTGTAATTCAGCATGTACTCTGTAAGTGGTTGTTTGCCAGAGTCCATAATGATAAGGCAAATTCACATTGAGCTTTAGAGGACAAAAAAGGAAAGTCCCATTGCAAAGATCTCACAGACAAAACTTGCAGCTAACCCAATGCAGTGCCTGTCAATATGCAGAATGAAAGTCTTACTGACCTGGTGATCCTGGTAAGCCCTTAGTGCCTGGTAAACCATGCAGTCCACTGATTCCTCTTGAGCCAGGTAAGCCTGTTTTAAAATTACACTCATTATCTTAGTAGTTTCTACAAGATCATATATATTCCTCATGAAAAAATGGAAGTGCTTAAATAAATATGATTCTGTGTTAAGCTCACACATATTATATGCAAATTAATTAATTATAATAAGCTTACTATGTAATATATTATTCTTTTTTTTTTATTAGCAAATCTAATTAATATCCAATAAGCTGACAACGAGATACTTAAAATCTCTCTAATCTGTCTGGTAGAAGGCCATTAGTTCCAGTCTTGTGACTGCAACTTTCTAATAACCATTTGATGTTTTCAAAAGTCCTCAAACCAAGACAATTATGGGATAATTGTGCAACCTAAATGTAATTATAATGAAGCCATCTTCAGGAGAAATTCACTCTGGGTCATTAAAAAAACCACAAACAACAGTTAACAAAATGTCTAATGGCTGCTACTGTGGTTATAGGTAAAATTTATCCCATTTATTTGTGTCTATCAAAAAGTTAAGCACGATGTTAAAGTGGGTATCTTTAATCAATTGTCAGAGCTCTGAAGGACAATTAAACCTTCACAAGAATAACTGTCTGCCTCTCTCTTCATTGCTTATAAGGGCAGCCTCCATAACTCTACTGGCTTTGATTTGACGCAGATTCAGATAGATGAATCTCACTAAAATCAGGGCAATTTCCTGCTGTACTTGTAGAGAAAAATCTGCTCACTTCATATACGAAGGAGTCAGGTGGCAGACAATGAGATCCTGTGATACAGCTTCATTTTAAGCCATTACCTGTATGCTGATAGCAGAGTTCTGTCTGAGTCTCAAGTTGGATGTAAGCCACCCAAATCATAAAACCATGTGTCAGATCAGTAAGTGGGTTTTGATGATGGAAGACAAATTTATTGTTTGCCATCTAATGCCACATTTCAATATTCTAACACTCTATCTCACCACTCTTTTTCTTAGCTTCATTATAAATGAAAACATTTCTTGATAACTGCTTTCTTGGTTGAGTGCGAGTTTCCAATCATAGAATCATTAAGCTTGGAAAAGAGCTTCAACATCATCTAGTCCAACTTTCAGCCCACCCCACCATGCCCCCTGACCACATCCCACAGACATACACCCACCATTTTCTGGAAAACCTCCAGGGGTGGTGACTGCACCACCTCCCTGGGCACCCTGTGTCACTGCCTCACCACTCTGTCTGCGAATAATTTTTTCCTAACATCCAACCTGAACCTTCCCCAGTGCAACTTCAAGGGAGCTCAACAGATAACAGACCTTCAGAACCGAGGAACTAAAAACCAACCACACAGGTTCCCATCAATGCATCTGGACTTCTTGTGGAATACACTTTTACTAGAAGGAGCTCTGCCACTGTGAATTGCAAAAAGCCCTCTTTCTTCTTCACTCCCAAAGAATAAAAGCGACTACTCACACTGAAATGACTGAGTAGCCAAAGCTGTATGAATACCTGCTTGTCCTGGTAAGCCAGGCCAGCCAGGAGTTCCTTTTTCTCCTTGGAATCCAGGTGTTCCAGGGCTTCCTTGCTGCCCTGGAGGGCCGACCAGTCCTGGCAAACCTAGGTGATAATGGTATATCATCATGAGTGACCTTAGAAGCCAACAGCACAGAACACTGGCTTGGGCTACCTTCATTCTCCCAGGTAGCAGAATAAAAGCTTATGTCCTCAGCATCACTTGTATGACACTGCACCCTTCATCCAAGTGAATGACAAAAGAGAGAAAAGGGAAGACAGGCAAGGTGTAACAGAACAAATTAATTGCAAATTTCAGGGTATGACAACCTCAGGAATATAATAAACTCCATAAAATGGTTGTCTGACTTCAATTAGCAGTTACCATGGGTAGTTTCACTTATGTGCACCTTAGTTGCCCCATTTGCCCCCTCTATTTTGGCTCCTTGACTGAGCAGAATAGTGCTGTTTCCCAGTAAGGTACCTACTAGCACAGCTCCAATTTTGGATGGAATTCATATGCCCTATAATTACGTAGGAAATGTGGACCAACTGCTCTGCAGGAGCACCTTGATGATCATCCTGGAATGAGACACGCTCTTAGGCCACAAGTTTGTGATCCAGCCTGAGCCAGACCTGACTTTGGTTTCTGTGTATTCCTGTATGTTCAGCCAGGGAAAGTGGCTCAAAGGCTTCCCAACTGGGTCCTGTGGGATATTTATTGCATTTATGGCAGAAAAGAGTGTTGAAATGCCCACCTCCTTGTTGCATTGAGAATTACTGTAGCTAAGTACTCCAACAGTGCAACAGTTTGACGGGGCATATGACTGTTATAAGAAAGGAAACATTGCTGTGAACCAGAGTTAATCTTTTGAAATTTCCTCTTAACAAGTTCTCCTGGGAGTTCCACATTCTTTTTATTGCTCTTTACCAACTTACAGAATAATTAACATTTTAAAAACGTAAGGACTTTCTCTTGAGTGAATAGTGTTTTTTCCTTTATTTTCTCATCCTGTCTTATTCTTTGGAGTGTTAAAAGGGAAGAATATTTTACCTTGCTGTCCCAAGGAGCCAGGTACACCCTGTATGCCCTTGAGGCCTTCAATGCCAGGTAAACCAGGATCACCTCCTTCGCCTTTTTGTCCAGGGCCTCCTCTTAAGCCTGCAGAAAGAAATGACAAAAGCAGTAAATTCTCTCAGTAATCTTTATATAATCCTAAACTAACTTGCTAAATGTGAAGCTGGCTACTTGATGAGTCCTGTTCTAGCTGCATAAACACATTCTTCAAGCCAGGGTGCTTTCATAGCGTGAGAGCATGAATGGTCTTCTACCGCACCCTTGGCCAATCTGTCATTAAATTTGTTTTTTTAACAGTTATCTCCAGATTATTTGAATTACAAATCTGATGTTCAAATATGCAGAATGTGCAGAGATGAAACCAATTCAATCAAAAACCAATTCTGCTATCCCCCCTTTTTTGCCCTGATATCGCTCCTTTTGCCACCAATGGTAAAAATATATATATATATATACATTATGATGCTTTACTAGAGCTGCTGGTGATTGAAGTTTAGTGCCATAACAGTCATTTTATTTGAAGAGATAAACTTAGCACATATTTATTTCAATTGAGTGAAGATGCAGCTCTTCAAGAGCTGAACAGCCATCAAAAACACGTGCTAAGCTCTCCCACCTTTTCTCTGTGGAATTTAATCTGTGAAAAATGAGACATCCAGAGTAGCTGTGACATTAGTACCTGTAAGACCCGGCACACCAACTTCCCCTTTAAGGCCTGGCATTCCTGGTAAGTTTATAGTATCGCCCGGCTCACCTATTTCAAGGTAAAAACAACAAGTGAGTGGCAAAGCTTTAACCAAAATCAGCAGCATTTCCTGTATTTTTGAAGAACTGCAACTTCCAAGACAACATTCTGCAATTATTATCTGTCTAGATAAAAACAGAAATAAGTTAAAGGAAGAAAAACATAGAATGTAGCCCCTCTACTGATGCCCTGCCATAATTTTATTTTAATCTTGCATGAAATTAACAGTATTAAGCTTTTCACAGCCTCGTGTGTTTACAACACCATACTCTAAGACTGTAGAAGGACTCATTAAGACTGAAGACCCTCCCAGATCCTACAGAATTTCAAGTCACTTAATTGCTGATGAACAGAACGAACGCTCAAATAAGAGAACAAACTCACCAATTTCACCATGGGAACCAGGAGAACCAAAATGACCCGAACTTCCTGGGGCACCCTTATCTCCCTGTTGTATGATTGAAAACAATTATTGGTTAATAAGAATGAGGATTTATTCAACCTTCCAAGCAGCAGAGTTTAAATATTGAAAAAAGGACATTAAATTTACCTTTTGTTTTGCTCTGTGTGTTTTGGTTTTTTGTTTGTTTGTTTGTTTGTTTGTTTGTTTGGGGTTTTTTGCTTGTTTCCATTGTGCTTTGAATTTGGCTGAAATCAGTTAACCCAAACCAGCGCAAACCAAGTGACAAGCTGTGTTTGCTGTCTCGGTTTGAAATGGAAAACATCATATTGCACATATATGACAGACGGTCTCCCTATTCTTGGTCAGGAAAAAGTTCTACTGAAGTTGAGGGATGTTTCTAACTGAGGAAGGAACACATTTTCTTGTCTCTATTAAATAAATTATGCATGTGAATCTACTGCCAGGCCATTTGCAAGACTTCAGTGTAACTTATTTTGATGCCAAAGTGAATCGCGCTCAAGCAACTCAGATTCTTAGGCTTTTTGCTATTAGGGAAGTGACAGTGAGTAATTATAGGCAGTGGCACCATCAATTTGGAAAGAAAGAGTAAACACACCGCTGAAAATAATTTTTACCAATAGCTACAGTAACCAAGGACCTCGAAAGAACAGTCTGGGTCCTCATAGGCAGAAAGCTGGCACCTGAAACCTGATGTCTCCCAATGAGAAGAGATTCCCCTTAGTGAACATTAGAGAGATCAAGCAAAAGGATTTGATCTATTTATTCCATTCTTCTTGCATTTTTATCTTTGTACTTCAGCTGTTCAGTATAATTTCAAGGGGTGAATGCCACTCCCTAGAGAAGTTGCAGCAAAAGGATGCCATTTTGCCAGTCTTGGTATGGACTCACCCTGCCTCCTGTGCTGCCAGGGAAGCCTCTGATGCCTGGAGAGCCAGTTGGACCAGGATACCCTTTCAGACCCGTCAGCCCTTTTGCACCGATGTCCCCCTTCACACCAGGCACATAACTGGGGTGCCCTGGGGACCCAGGAATTCCTGTCTTACCAGGAAGGCCTGGCATTCCCTTGCTACCTGCAGGAGGGGAAAAAGACAAACAGAGAAGACTTAAAGCACTAGACCAGAGAAGGCTGATATACAGTTGCCCGTGTGGAAAAGAACTTCACGCTAACAGCCTTTGTGCAACACAGCACCACAACATGCTGGCACAACAGAGCAGCACACACAAGTGGCATGAACAGACAGTTTTCCTTGGGTTTTCTCTCTGCGAGCTCAGCTTTGTTTGATGGAGGCTTCGCTGGGTGGGCTGCAGTGTGGGGGTGCATTGAGCTGAGAATGTTTTATACAGTACATGAGAAAATACCTAGACACCAACTAACCCTAAATGTGCTCGCTTTGCTTTGCCATTAGCACTGACCTTTTATGCCAAAGAATCCCTTGGTGCCAGTTTCTCCAGCATCTCCTTTTTCACCTTTAACTTTCATCATCATGCTAGGCTTTGGCTTTGGGGGCTCTCCTGGGGGACCTTGTTCTCCACGGTCACCTAAAGGGTAAAGAAACACCCATATTTTAAAAAACTGGTCAGCTGCACTGAGCTGGAAAAAGAGACAACAGCATAGTGTGATCAGTCAAAAGAGATTAAAGGAAAACCTTGCACAAGCCATGGAAAACCTGTTTGCATGGAAAATTGACCATATCAATACAACATATCTGCAGAACAAATAAGCATAAGAAAATATGAAAACTAAGCTAGACTTCCATATGCTATTCTGGGGAGTTGGACATGGGTTCCCCTGTGACAGGGGAGTTTACCTCTCAGTAGATCAATTACCAAGTGCTTATGAAAACCAAAAGCACAGAAAGCAGAGACAAGTGGGTAGTTTCCAGTGAAAGGGAAGCCCTCAGTCAAACGGGACTTAAAAAGGCTTGGGTGAAAGAAAGTGTTTGGATTTGTTACCAGCTATTTTGTTCCAACTTCCTGTTGGAGGACTGAATTACAGAGTTCCTTTCACTGATTGTGATATCAATGGGTATGTTTCTGACTTAACTGCACAGTTTTCTGAATATTTTTTTGCCTTTATCTTGAGGCAAAATTGGAATCTTTTCCCCAGAACATCTTACACCTCCCAGGAAAAAACTCTGTTGAGTTCCGCATGTGTCTGGAGGTGTGTTCAAATTTGGTGGTGTGCCTGTCTCCATCCTGACCACGCTCAAGATTCACAAAGAAACAACCTTCCCTTGCGCCTCAAATCCAAGCTTCTCAGCCAGAGGCCCATGTGTGAAATAGGTGGAGCAATGTCTGAGCTAAACTATGTCTAAAATGTGTCATCTTTGTCTGTGCACCCTTGCAAAATAGTTCTCCATATGTGAAAAGCAAACACTGTACCACTCATAAGCAAATACCTTTAAAGCCTCGAGCACCCTGCGCGCCTTTATCACCCCGAGCTCCAAATAAGCCAAATTCTCCTTTGATTCCTTTGATTCCTGGTCTTCCTTTCAGGCCTGGCATGCCTTTGAAACCATCAATGCCAGGTGAACCTCTTGAGCCTTTAAAGAGAAGTGGAAGACAACTGTTATCTTGTTCAGATTTCTGCAGAATAGGTAAATATGAAATGATAATGCACAACTAAAGCTGTCTGAAAGTTGCACTGCTGCAGCACCATTTCTGGGTGCCTTGATGCCTAGGGCAATGTGCCATTCCATATTAGGCACCTAAGCTCTCTGGGAGGTAGGTATCTACATGAGATCAGGCCTTCAATGAGTTCCTTAGTCTGGCCAAAAGAAGATGTGGAGACGGCCGGATCTTAGCATCATCTTCTGAAAAACTGTTTCAACCCTGATCCTACAGACCAAAAATTATGGCATTCCTCTCTTCTAAACAAGAGGATCCTGTTTTACATGGGTCACGCTACCAAACAGATCTTCATTCCTCTAACAAGGAGCTGATCAGAACACCAGAGTAATCTTGGGGAAAAGAAAAAAGAAGCCTTAACTGTCTTTTCAACTGATGATTTCATCAGTCTGCATGAATTTTTAGGCACTCATCTCTTCTGTTTGAGTAGAGTTGAACTCTGTTGAAAGTCCTTGTATGACACAACTTGCATCGTATCTAATGCTTTTGTGACAGGTAGGAGAGAGTCTCTACTTGTTTATACAAAAGATCAGTATCCTGTTAAAATTCAGCATCAAGGTCTGGTGTCTGGCACTGCTCAGCACAGAGCTGCCAACTTTCAAAAACTTTAAAGGCTTGGGGAAACATCTGTCACATTCAACTGACAGCTGGTGGGACTGGGCCAAGGGAAAGACTTTTGGGAAGAACAAATAGTAAATATTGTAAACCACTGCTGCTCTTCAAGCTAGCTTTGCACTAAGCACAACACAAGAGAAAACATACAATGATTTTGGAATATATTAAGCCTAGGAGTATAATTCTTGTTTTAAAGAGGTAGCTCAGCAGAAAATATGTCCTATTCATCTCAGCACAGAGCAGCTTTAAGCAACATTATTTCTTTCAGTGCAGCTATTTAGAGCTTACCTTTGTCTCCTGGAAATCCATCCATTCCACTAATGCCAGGGGGACCAGTCACGCCAGGGATACCTTGTAATCCTGGGAAACCTGTTTCACCTTTGTCACCAGACTGACCTTTTATGCCCACCAGACCAGGAAAGCCTTGCTCACCATCTTCTCCCCTTGCACCTGGTGGACCTGCCATGTGAATGTGTGAAAAGGGAGATTAAAGTGTTTGGATATACACAGTGATTATACAGAAGGTAGCCCAAGCAGGGAAAAACTGCTATCGTACTGGCTTCAAGTTGAAAGGGAAAAAACTGTGGTTTTTTCAACAGAGAACTTCAGAAATGATTACACAGACAAAGCAGCAACAAAGCAACACAAACTAATCTTGCTAACATCCTGGTTCTACACTCACTCCCAACATGATCTCTCCCTCCTCTTTTATTTAAAAATTAAGGCTTTTTAATACAAGATTACTCCCATTTAGTTGTTCCATTCTTCCAGACTGACTGCAGTGAGCTCTGTCCCTGCATGGCACATGGCTATAGAAGGAAAAGCAGCAGCTCTGCCTCTGAGGACGATGATCACCCCTATTCCCCAGCTGATACACCAGTATAGTTTGCATTCACAGTGCCTGCATCATCCAAGTCATTTCCATGACTGAGAATTACAGCCTGACATGTGCCACAATCTCAAAGGTAATTTTCCCCTGGGAAATTATACAGGTTCCTTGCCACAGAGAGTGGGGAAGAGAACTGACACAGGACGGCAATACTTCCTCACCAAGGGGTCCTTGAGAGCCAGGTCCACCATCAGGGCCGGGGTTTCCTGGTGGCCCTGGGAATCCATGAGTTCCTGGTGTTCCTGGTAAACCCATCAAACCAGGGAGACCTTGCAGCCCTGGATCACCTTTGGGGCCTGGCAATCCTGGGTTACCATCCGCTCCTAAAATACCGTAATACCACGCGTTAGTGAACATAAATATTGAGAGACTGGATTATTAATTACATATCATTTCTCAAAATAGGTGAATATGTACTATTCTTTCAGGATGTATTTTTTCCCCTGAAAATCAATGGGAAGAAGAAAAGCAAATTAAAAGACTGCTCATTAGTTTTAAATTCTTGATGTTATTGGTGCTAGTCTCCATATTTGCACTGGTAAGGTTGATGGGCTCTTTCAAATGAATGGAAGTAATTTAGTATCAGGTAGATCTAAACAGAGTAACTCTCTTCCATTTCTAACTCCAATAATTCTGTAATTTCTGATCTTTCCCTTTGTTACATATGTCTTTGTAAGAACTGAATCGAGTTGACCAAAACACAGAAATAATGCCGTGTCTTTTCTAAAATGTGATAGGAGAAATGGAAAAAAAGTAAGGCAACAGTGGGTTCTTTGTGTTGTGTTGTATTCAGAATTTTTCAAGTGAGGTACTGCTATAAGTTTCATACAAATTCCTCAGCAAAATGCCCTGATTCTCATTTCAATGTTTCGAGTGAAAATTTACATCTCTACAAGATAATAGCAAAGGCAATGTCAAGTCCTTCCACTTTTAAATGGTAATGCACCCTTTGCATTCAGATTGGATAAGCAATAGTGCACAAGTGCACATAGTGCACAAGATCTCAAAAGCACATCACACTTAAAATCCAGGATAGGTGGCTCTGCTTCTCTTTATTTGGGTTTTATATCATTGTAGGTGCAGAGGCTTGAATGTAGTTGCATATGCTTTAGAACTGAGAGAAACCAAAAGGTCACAGGTGGTGAGTTTTCTCAGCAACAGAACAGAGACATTTGCTCCCTGCTCTGAAGGGCTAGTAGTTTAACTGGCACAGATGAAATAAAGGAGTTGCCAAACACTTTGTATAAAAGTAACAGGAGAGAGGGTTCGGTCACATCTTTTTAGTCTGTGTTTACCCTTGAATTTCTTCTCCCTCAGAGAAAAAGACTCTTAGGGGTATTAGTGGTATTGTTTTCTCAGACATAGCAAGTGTTACCACAGTGCTACAGAGCTGCTTTATTTCATTCCTTCATTCTGTGACTGTACTGAAGATGAAAACAGATCTGCTCACTTCAAATAAGTCATGTAAAATGACATGCTTATCTTGTCTTTATCCATTTGCATTGAAAATCATGAGATGAGTCACCAAAATAAGTTTCTATCAAATTCCTCTTTGCTTTGCGCTAGTCACACAATTTCTCCTCCTTCCTCAGTTCCACAACAGAGCAAGGGGGTAAGTCTGCAGTCCTGTGTCCAGCTGCTGCTGAAACAGTACAGCAGGTAATGCTTAATTCCTACAGATGCTTTTTAAAGTCCCCCACTGAAATCAAAGAGTGATAGAGACAGCTTTAATGAAGATGTTATAGTTTTTTTTCTGTCTACTATAAGTAGAGCATGTTTTTTTAAGCTCTGTAAAATAACAAAATAAAGTGAGCACCCTAAAATTATGAGTAAATATGTAATGCTCCCTTTTTCTTGTTCATGGAGTGCTCCAAGACCCTTGAGGTAAAAGGGCTTATTAACATGTTACTAAATGCTGTGCCTTCTCTGCTAATATTTACAAATTCTGCAGTGGAGCAATGTGCTGTACTACAAAGCCATCTATTATCCAGACATTGTAGGGGTTGGAAATGAAGCTGAGTACTATGCAGTACATAAGTGAAAATTCAAGATAATTATCAATGGCTGGAAAAACTAAAGGATACATCAGATACAACAAAGATGAGAAAATCTTGTTCTTTGATGTCCTATTATAGGTGATGCCATGTGGTGCAGTGTGAGAGTGTGCTGGTATAAGCAGTGAATTTCCAGAAGGTGTTTGAGAGGAACCTCACAGAAGGTGCTTGAGGTCAATTGGTCTTTCACTTCCCTCACGTAGTCATAGTTTGGCTACATTTATACCCCAGTCTTAACCATTTCTTTACTTGAAGTACCTCTAATTCCTGGTATTCCTTGATCTCCTGGTGCACCTTTCAAGCCAGGGAAGCCAGGCAGCCCAGCATCCCCCCGAGGACCTGCTGCTGCTCTCAAAACATCACCAGGAGCACCCTTCTGTCCGTCCAGTCCTGGAGCACCAGACTTTCCCATAAGACCTGGATGTCCCTGTAGTCCAGGTAAGCCATTTGGGCCGCTGTCTCCTCGGGGCCCAGTAAAGCCTACAAAAAAAAAAAAAAGCAAACAACCGAGGATTAGGCATTGCAGTGTCCACTATAGAAGTTGCAGTGCAAATCCCAGATACATCATCGTAACATCTGTTATATTATTGTAACTTCCCTTACTTCTCAACAGAAACATGTAAAATTAAACAAAGTGAAGTGCATATAATGGTTTTAAAAACACATAACGTTCAGAAGAATAGTTGACCAAGTCTGAAAATTGACAAAAATTACAAAAGACTCTTCAAGATATCTCGTACCTTGGTGTAAAAGATTCACAGCTCCATGCACAGTTACTTTCATGAAACTATTTTGACATGGCTACTGCAATGCAGCATCTGATGCACGGACTCGGATCTGAACGATCCAAATTGTTAGTTACAAGTTCTCACATCACTTATATAGCTTTCATTAGCTTATATACTATATATATAGCATATACTTCATTAGCTTTCCCATCCACCCCTACAACTTTCCCATCCACCTTCACACGTCAGCAGAGCATTCTACAAAACACTCTTCAACCGTTCACACAGGTGCTTATTATTAATCAGAGCCATGAGACGTTCTTTCTTCTTCTAGAGGTGTCCTTGGTTCTCATGCTGTGTATCTTGCTCCACAGCTTCTGCTCTGAACAGTTTTTCATGTATGCCCACATTGCCACATCTTATAAACATCTTACAGTCTAAGGGTGAAAAAACACTTCCTGTATACCAAATTGTGGTTTGATACGCAGCAAGGGAAAGACAGGAGTCCAATATGAACAAATAAATGAAAAGTGAATGCAGGCAGTAAACCAGAAAGGCCGTGAGGAGTTGCCCAGAGGGGCCACTGCCTCTGCTGTTCCCTATACATCTCTAGGGGCCAATGCCAATCGCTTCATACTCTTCATATACCAGTGCCACCGTGCCTTATCTACTACCCTATTGGTGAATGATTGGGAAGGACTCCCATATAGGAGGCAGGGAAGACTGGTAAACTGGACCTAGACTGGAAGTTAAGTCCAAGTATGGACTTACGGTTGAGATACAGTATGGAAGACAGCTGAAAATCAGCGTGAGTGCTAATTACTCTGTGGCCTGGCAGCCATACAGTACAGGAGCCCCAATTTTGCAGTTAGTGCACTCTGCAGAGCTCGGAAAGGGAAATACAGATTCATGTACCTGTCCAGAATGAGTTTTTTTGTCCACACCCCTTGTCTGTTGATCAAGACATGTATCAACTTTGCTTTCACCTATTACAGATCAGGATAAAACATTACTAGCACTGAGCACTTGGAAACACTGGAAACACAGCCAACTGTGGGCAAGGTGTATAGCTAGTGCTTCGTCTTTGCTATGTTCATTATTATTTAAATGAATGCCATAAAGACTTAAATTGAAACAATAACACTATCTTCTTTCTTTCTGCAGTTATCATTCCACTTGGAATCCAGAACACCTTATTACTGAATTTCCTTATTTCTAAATCATCTTCACAAACTGTTGGCATTTGTAATTTTGCACTGTAAAGCAGATTTTAAAAGGCTGGAGTCTGTGTTACTTTTTGTCATTACAGGAAGTTGCAGAAAATACTTTTGGCTTCAAAAAAGAGAGCTTTATTTATAACAGCTTATTGTTTGAAGATGGAAGGTGAGATAAATGAAGACGGATCTGGAGTAAGGTGATTGTGCTTCAGTGACTGTAGCCAAGGTCATAAATATAGAAAGAATGATTCATTATTTCAAGGTACCTGGAGGACCTGGGTATCCTTCCCGACCCGGATCACCTCGTGTACCATTTAGCCCTGGGAATCCCACTGGGCCTGGATCACCCGGGAATCCTCTTGCACCTTTAGTACCTAAATTATATAAAAGAAATTAAGGAAGTGTGATCTAAAGAATCAAAACAGAAGTTTGGATGCAGTGTAGCAAAAGTAGTGGCAAATACTTTAATTATCTGTGTCCAGGTACAAAGATAGACTTTTAAAATAAAGTTTATGGTATGATACTGTACTCAAGATCCCAAGAATGGTCCCAAACTCGAGGCTGAGTGTTTTTACAAACATAGATTAAAGACTGCTTCTGATTTTTAGACTAACATTATGTAAATGGTGAGGGTGAAAATCACCTGTCTGATAGACTTCTGGAGACTTTTTTGACAAATATTTTGTAATTAAGCTTTTTAGAGTTACGGAATCGTTTGAATTGGAAGGGACTTTTAAAGGCCTTCTACTCCCTTGCAATGAAAGAGACTTCTGCAGCTAGATCAGGGTGCTCGGAGAGCTGATCAGCCTGACTTTGCCTGTCTCCAGGGACAGGGCATCCACCTCCTCTCTGCACAGCCTGTTGGATCTTGGCGTTCCCGATCCCATACCCATATAGCCCAGCAACATCCACGTACTCCTCCCAGGATACCTGCTCCTGCTTCCGCTGCCTGTGTATTTTCCTTTTGCTCCCCAGTTTGACCAGCAGGTCCCATTTCAGCCATGCTGGTCTCCTGCCTTCCTACATCTGGGGATGGACAACTTCTGTGTATTAAGGAAAGCTTCTTTAAATATCTTCCAGTTCTGCTCTGCTTCCTTGTCCTCAGTGATTGTTTCCCAAGGGGGTTTTGTTGACTAACTCCTTGAAGAGCTGGAATTTGGCTTAAGGTCAAAAGGCAGTGTCAAAGGAAAAGTGCTCAACAGTAATGGGCACAAATGAGATATTGTAGGAGAAACAAATGTTTCCCTTCTCTGCTAAACTGATCACAGGATAAGAGCTGACTGGTTTCGATAACCAAAAAAAGAAATACAAGGCTAGAGGTTAGATCTAATCATCCTAGGAACTGAATACAAATTAAATAGCTTACATACTATTTTTGTAATAGTGGAGGTTTACAGCTTAGGTAGTAAAATAAGAGCTGTGCCCTAAAAATGTGTTCCTCTGGCACTGAGCTCATATAACTGTTTCTCAGCATCTCAAAAACTGCAAACATCTTGTAAAATTCTTTTTTTTTAATAATGTTTATAAAACTGTATTATTTACATATATTTTCATGCAATAGCTTTATTACATGAGTCTCATCAATTCATTGCATTCCAAGGACAGATTTTTTGGTCAAGCTCCTTTAAAACAACCCTCATGCAATGCTTTGTTTTTTTCTACTCCCCAGCTCCCTGCACTCTTTCAGTTCCCAGTTCAGTCTTGAAGGTCAGCAACATGCTTTAACATTTTAAGTGCTGTTGCTTAGCATCATCATGAATTACAACTCAGTTTATTAGACTGAAAGTAAGTTTCTCTCTACTTCTAACTATAGCGAAAAGGAAAATATCACTTGAATTTTGATACTTTAGTTTTCAGAATTTCTATTGTTTAGCCATCAATTTTTGCCATTTTAGCTGTTGGACTTCTTGTTTGTTTTTTAGTGAATTATATACAGAAACCTTTCAAAGGCCAGAATTAAGAAGCACATAAATAGCCTGTGCAGCATGAAAACCAGTTTCTGAGTGCAGTACAGAACTATTGTTCTCTTCCTTATACGAACAAAAGCTTCTCAGAAAGCAATTACAAGGAAAAATCTTAGGTTTTTAGGACTCAACAACAAATTCTAACACTACTCTTACCTAAATGGCATCTTTGTTTTGTTTCCCATCTGCAATAATTGACTTTCATTCATTCTGCTCATTCTCATTCTAATTAAAAAGCCATATTAGAGAAAGAATGGACAGATGGAGAATGCAGCCACTGTTTACCACATATTTCATCAACTCGTTATGTGATGTTAGTTATTGTTAACATGTTGTGCCAAACAGTAGTAAGAAAAAGGTTTTTTTTGTAACAATATTTTGCAAGCATTTATTTGTATGTTTCCTACAGGAAACGAGCACCTTATTCAACAGTAGCTATACAGGTCCTGCCAGAGTTCAGAAAGCATTTGGACAATGCTCAGACATAGGATTTGATTTTTGGGTATGGAGACGTGAGTTGAACTCGATGATCCTTGTAGGTCCCTTCCAGCTCAGGATATTCTATGATTCTTTGATTCAGGAGCAGCAGCCACCAAGGCTGCATGCTGCTTAGACCTCTGCCTGTTTCAAGTCAACTCCTTCCTCCACTGTCCTTTCTAAAACACACTGTCCACTAAGTTGCAGCTATGTTAGAGTTGGCAAGATCTCTCTCAGAACATAGTGTATCTGTGAAAAAAAAGGTGGAAACAAAACATTACCTGTGGCTCCTGGCAGCCCTGGCTTGCCTTGAGATCCCTTTGGTGGCCTCACACAGCCTCCACCTGCCAAGAAAAATGTTTAGTCACAGCATATGTGCTTACATGCTGTCTCTCATCATTGCTGTGCCTGCAGCTAAGATAACACTCTAAAAGCAGGTGAATGAAATCAACAGGAGAAGTCCCACTTTTAGAAGTTTTATTCTTCATTAAGAGAACAACAACAATGCAACACTGGTTACGGGTGGCGCTCTCTCATGCAGAGCTCAACCCCAGTAATTTAATCAAAAGCCACCCTTCTGCCTATTTTACAGAGACTGTGGTGGTGGCTACTTTAGCTAGGCTGGTGTGGAAAGGCTATTTCAATGTCATGGACAGCTGTATTACCAGAACAAGAGAGACAATCTGTTTTCCCACACCCAATAAATCAAGTCAAATTTTGGTACAACTGAAGGTCCTTATTTTTTATGCGTCAGACTGCACTGAAACTCCTCACTCAGAGTTCTTTTTGAAATTTCATTTCTTGCTCTGTTGCTTAATTTGCATGGTAATCATTATTTTATCACAATAAGCACAACAGGAGCAATTAAACAAAGAATTTCTGGATTGCAGAGGTAAGACTGCAAGAATTTTAGAAAACATCCAATTTGATTAACTCACTTTAGAGCTATGTACTGTATAAGCATGGTTATTTGTGACCTGAAGTTTAAATAGCTTACAATTAATAGCATTCAAACCAGTCATCAGAAAGAAAGTACGAAGTCATAACAGCCACATAAGACTTAATGTCAAAGCACATTCAAGCCATTTGCATGTTCAGTACCTGACCATATTGGATCAGTTGCATCTCCTCTAGGAAAATCTTCAATCACCTGCCCACAGTCTGTGAGACAAAGAACAGGAAAAGATAGTTGTCATTTAAGAGAAAAATCTAAAAAGCTTTCATTTATACAACAAAATATCTATCACCACATCAGATACATGCTATTTTACGCATTATGCATTGGAGAAACCGTATGCAACAAAAACATTTGAACTCTATATATTAATTACAGCCTGCCTTAGGAGCCCTATATGTCACATGTACTGTGTGGGGCTGACAGGTGCCTGTTTTGGCTTGTCTATTCTGCTGGGCATCTTGAACTCAAGCAAAATCCTCTGAGTCTGAGCTTTTGTGAGCACAGCCCTGGCAATCTTACGCAAGAAGGGGCTCAGATAACTGCAGAGATACCATGAATAACTCTAAAAGGCAGATAAAGGATTTTCTCTGCTCAATTAAAAGATGAAGTTGGATGGAGAAGAACAGAGAAAACCACCTGTAATTTAATCGAAAGGCAGAACACGGCTCCATTCCCTGCAGCTGCTTAAATAAGATTTTAATTGCTGACACCAACATATTCCCTGATGCTATTTCAATACCTTAAATGAAACTACTTCTTAAAAAAGATTTCTGGACATCTAATGAAGGCAATCCCTTTCACTCATATAATCCTCCACCAATTGCTACCTTTTCAACACTGCTTTTGAACAGATAGTGTACACACAATTCAGTAATGATCTCACAAGGATTTGATATAAGACAGAGAAATTATTCTTACCTATTTGGCCAGGCTCTCCTGGTGGACCAGGCAGACCTGGAACCCCAGGGCTTCCGTCTGTTCCATCATCACCTGGAGGACCACGGTACCCTTTTGGGCCAGGAAATCCTCCACCTGGCAGGCCTGTTTCTCCTGGGAAGCCCTTTGGGCCTAATTCTCCTGGGTAACCAGGATCCCCAGGGAGACCTCTGATACCATCACCCTGTGGGAAGTGGGAAATGAATATACTTCTGCTTTTGCTGTGAAAGAAACAAAACTCAGAGTTGAACTACTCTCACAGAATGACAGAATCACAGAATCCAAGGTTGGAAAGGACCTACAAGATCATCCAGTCCAACCATCCACTGATCACCAATAGTTCTCACTAAACCATGTTCCCACAGCGCAATGTCCAAACCTTCCTTTAACACCTCCAGGGTCGGTGACTCCACCACCTCTCTGGGCAGCCCATTCCAGTGCCTGACCACTCTTTCAGAAGAGTACTATTTCCTAATGTCCAGCCTGAATATCTCCTGGTGCAGTTTGAAGCCATTCCCTCTAGTTTTATCACTAGTTACACGAGAGAAGAGGCCGACCCCCTGCTCAGTACAACCTCCCTTCAGGTACTTATGGAGAGTAATGAGGTCTCCCCTGAGCCTCCTCTTCTCCAGGCTGAACATTCCCAGCTCCTTCAGCCTCTCCTCATATGGCCTGTGCTCCAGACCCCTCACCAGCTTTATCGCCCTTCTTAGAACACACTACAAGGCCTCAAAGTCTTTCTTGCAGTGAGGGGCACTCATGAATAGCATCTTATAGGCAGCTATTCCTTATGTATTGCATCCCAGCTTTTTAAAGCAAAATTGCAAATACAATAGATTTGGAATAATCAGACATTATTTTAGACCCCCACAGCAGAAAAGCATGAGAGAAGCACTCTTAGAGGGAGCATTCCCCTAAAAAGGCTGGCCAATCAAGAACATATGGGAAATATGAGTCACTGCTGTGGACAGCCTTACTATCCTTTCTGAAATGCTGTGAGTGGATATGAGGGAAAGCATACACATCACTAGAGGTGCATGAAAGTTAGTTCTGGTGTGGCATTTAATTCTTAGATCTTGACAGAAGCTGATATAAAATTGTGCCCAAGTGGGCAGAACTTTCTTAGTCTGTTACTCTAGTGATGTTACCACAACATCTTTAGAACATCACCAGAAAACGTTCCTATCCACAGATTTAATAAAAAGTACCATTTTTACTAGTAGTCAAACCCACTGTGGGCTGATGACAAAGCTCTGGTCCATCCTCCTATATGATGCAAGAAACCAGTGGTGGAAAGCAACATTTGTGATAGGTGATGAGGTATTGTCAAGCAAGTAAATAATGATGTGACCTACATTTTGGGGATGGAAACTATTAACTCCCTCATATCAAAATGCCGCACACAATCTATAGATAATAAACTACTAATTATCACAAACAAACCACTTATATAAAATTGGCCTAAATGGGTTATACACTACCACTTATGTATTTAAATAAAATTGAAATAGAAGTATAAGGTGGTTCTAAAGAATCTGAGGGTAAAACTGATATTTAGTATATCAATAATCAGCAAGGCCAGTTTAGTTGTGCATCATCATCTGTGTGTGAAGGGCAGCCTGATGATCATTAATCCTCAGAATTAAATGTATTAGTAATTGAGTGTGGAGGAAATGATTTAGCTTTGTTTCCAACTTGGACAGAAGGATGTTGGATGTTGTGGGAGACTGTGTGAAAGACCTTTCAGAAGTCCAGACATGATGCCAGTGGCTCTTCCCTTGTGCACTGATGGAGTCATGCCATCATAGAAGGCCACAAGGCTGTTCAGACAGGACCTGCCCTCGGTGAAGCCATACTTGTTGTCTTGTATAACCTGCCTGTATTCCGTGTACCTTAGCAAAGCTTCCAGGAGGATCTGTTCCATGATCTTCCCCAGCACAGAAGTAAGGCTGACAGGTCAGTAGTTCCCTGGCTCGTCCTTTCTTCCCTTCTTAAAATTTGCTACTCACCGGAAGGCCAGGCAGTCCTGGTAAACCATCTAATCCATCTCTGCCTGGGAAACCATCTTCCCCTCTGATACCAGGAAGTCCAGGATCTCCTCGGATTCCTTTGGTGCCTAAAGCAGATCTTTCATTGGGAAACTGCTCTTTCACAAAAGGCATAAATAATTGCAAAATACATGTGACATGATTTTTTACCTTTAGTAGTTATGTATATAGAATCTCCCTTTTCTCCTTTTGGTCCAGGAAATCCTTCTTGGCCCGATTGTCCCTGGCATTACACAAATCAGAAAAAAAAAACAAAAAAAACAAAAAAACAAAAACAACAAGAAAATCCTCAAAAACACAAAATAAAACCACTTAACAAATAATTATCCAGATTTGTGGTTTCACTGTCCTGCTTAAACAAACAAGCAAACCATGACGGTAATGCTTTCCTATTACTCTCTGTATGATTTCTTCTTCAGTAATCCTGTTCCTGTGCCTGAATCCTTATTAACTTGCTTAACTAGGATCAACGCCCATATGGCACGGTAGGGGTGCTTCTACACGAGGATAGCATTAGGAGATCTGTGGCTTATCATAAGATCAAGTCCTATAGATGACTACAGCTGGAGAACTGCATGAGAGAAAATGTAGTAAATTACTTATTGTTTGCCAGGAAGGAAATTGCTGTAAGCAACACTTTGGCACCATGGTAACAAAACTCTGGGTTATATTTACCTGCATTTTCTCTTCCCCAGTCTAAAAAAGATGACAGCTGCATGGCTGGCAGTGGACAGTGATTCACAGCACCATTGTAGATTTGAAAAGCAGCATTTTCCTCATTTATGAGAGGAAGGAACTTAGGCATAGAGTGATTAAGTGAACTACCCCAAACCGCAGCCCCATAGGAAAGATTTTGGTTGAAAGGGACAGCTGGAGGCCCCCACTCCATTCTGCTGCTCAAAGCTAAAGCAGGTTGCTCAGGGCCTTGTCCAGTCAAGATTTAAAGTCTCCAAGGAAGGAAATTTCCTCTCTTGCTAAGGTAAGCTGCGATGAGGCTAAGGATGAGTCTTTGGCATTCCTTGGTATAGTGCACAATTCTCCTCAACAGCCCAGCTGAAAATGGCACTACTAGATTTCTCCACAAGAACTCTGAGTTACTGGACTGAATGCATGGGAGATGCCAAGGACTCAACATTACAGATTCATTTAGTGCTGACTGTTCTAACCCAGTTACCTATAGTTCTGAAAAAACATATTCATGCATACTAAAATATAAGCCACTATGTTTTCCCCATCTTCCTCTTACTGAATTTCAGTGGCAACAATATATGAAGAGAATGTTTGATGCATTTATTTTTTCTCTGAAATCCTCCTCTGCCATAATTACTTAGTTTGATTTCTTTTCCATCACCGTCTTTCATTGGCATTTTCCAAGCATTTCTTAGGAGGTGAAAAGCATGTGTGGAAATGGAAAGTCATCTAAAGAATATAGGTTTACACTTCTGTAAGTCTAAAGTGGGAGAACAAATTTGAGTGAAGGGATCTGTCTGTGTTTACCTCCTGCATTTTAGTGAAGCCACATCTACATAACCCTGTAGAGATTCTTCTTCTGCACAATGCTTTTTATAAGCCAAAAGAAATCTGAAGAACTGAATACAATACTGAATTATGACACTGACTTTATAACTGCAGAAATTTTCAGCAATAGCACTGCCCTGTATTATGTTCGCTTTGTTATTTGTTGCTTTCTAGGTTTAAATGTGTACCATGCAGTTTAGCCCATGAGTGTTTTCAAAATGGCTTAGAGCTATTTCTGATTTCTCTTTCTCCACAGAAAAGAATGCCCATTGCTTGGGATATAGATGTATATACTTACAGTAAGTTCACATAGATTTGATCTAAATTAAATGTATTGATTTTCTATAAAGGTAACTTGTTGAACATGTTAAGAAAATTATGGACTCACTTCTGCTAATCATATGGACTAAGAATAATTGAAGTAATTTGTTTTATGGTGAATTTGTGGCAGACCAGAAGCTGAGATAAAGTCAGGGCTTTGCTGCTGAGTAGTCATTATGATATGACAGGTCTATATGTGCCTTAAGTCTACAGTAACTTAAATTGTGGGATGAAGATAATACAGTTATTATTATTTCAAAGGCAAAAAAAACCAAACCTGCAGAACTTGTAAAAATTAATCAAAGTTTCCACAATGAACATTTCAAAAGGTGTCTTTTTAGAGCTTTTTATTTTCTAAAAGAAAAATCCAAACTCTAACTAGATGCAAATAATTTTTTTTTTTTTATGGTCAGAAAGCCAGAATTCCTGACTGAAAGTATTTCATTTGCTCTGACATCTCTATACAAACAAAATCAGTTTTGGGTTAGCTTAACTAAAATCTTATTCTAAAATCTTGAGTTTTAACTGTGAGAAAACATAAACTAGTTGGGATAACAAAAATATAACACCTTCAGCAGTAAATATTAGCAAAACACTCTTATCAGGGTTATTGACAGTGTTTTTTTAGGAAGAAGTTATGTATTTGTAACCAAGAATCTCACATTTAATATCTGACATTTGCCCCTCATTAGAAACAATTTGAAGGAACTAATGAAATTGTTTCCCTTCACAATCAGTGCTGTAGTTTTGCTGAAACAGCTTTGTTTAAATGGAAAGTGCATTTTATGTGGAAATCTTTTGCTCTTCCCACAGTAAACTATTTTAATTCTCATCTTAGCAACTTTCAGCTCTTGGTATTTTGTAGCAATCTGAAAACTATGGAAGTGGCATAAAAGAAAATAAATTGTACTTTTCATCATTTTTCTTCTCATGGAGAATAGCTGGTTTTTATTTGTAATAGATGTACAAAACTATGTATTAAAGAAACAAGTATCTTACTTTTGCTCCAGCGTAGCCAGGAATACCATGTGGACCTTGATCACCAGGTTCTCCTTTTCTCCCAGGCTGGCCAGGGGTTCCTGGAAAACCAGGAGGGCCACGGGGGCCAGTAGAGCCCCTTCTGAGTTCATCACTCAAAAGGCATGTACTGCAGTCACCTTCTTCGCCTAAGGAAGTGGATTGGAAAGAAAACTGTCACAACAAACACTTTCAACCCCTTATACACACATATATACCTCAAGTATTTGAGAAAATCACTTTTTTTTTTCCTTTTAAAAAACAAAATCAATGTCTACTTGTGGTATTAGCCTCAGATCAAATTCACTGGTCCCCGAGCATGTCATAATTAGACTTAATTAAAACTTAGAACAATGGAAGTTTTACACAATGCACAACAGCAGATCATTTTTTGAGTTATTTATTATAACCTACCTTTAGGTCCTCTTTGTCCTCTTGGCCCAGGAAAACCTTGTGCACCAGGTCTACCTGGTGTCCCTTCCTGTCCTTTTAATCCAAAGAGAGAACCTAGAAGCACAATAGAGTAAGCAGATAAATTAATGTACTGTAAATTAACGTACGGCTTCTCCTTATTCCACCTTATTCAAGTTGGATTACATCTGATCTTTTCTGTTTCTCCTAAAGTCTTCGACTGTATAACTCAGCTGTTATTAAATCCTCTTTCCTTGTTGTTTCTTCCCCTCCTCACAGCTTCCCAAACCCATTCTCAGTAACTTCCATTTGTGTGTTAATGGTCCCTTACTGTCTTACTTATGCAAGCTTCATCTTCATCCCTCTCTTTACTAGTACAGCCACCTACTTCAGAGGGGCCATTTGCTTGTCTCCGCATTCCCAGGCCTTACTTACTTTCATCTTCTAGCAAAGAATTCATATTTTCTATTTCTCAGCATTGAAGTTCCACCCAGACCAGCTTGCCTGGATTGTTGCTCCCCCTGGCCATGACTGCACTGCAGAACTCCAGTGACCAGTAACTGGCTGGAGCACATGGATTTCCTTCTCTGGAAACCAGTATGAGGGAATGTCTCATGTCTTATTTTGGTAGGTTCAGGACATGCCTTGACACATATACAGCCCCAGGACCTAAGTCTTAGACTGTGGGCATGACCTTTGAAACTTCTGGTTACAGCTTTCTCTTCCTTGTTACTTCTCTGCCTGCTTTGGTAGATGATTCTATCTATTCTTTGGTCTCTTTCACCCTTAATTCCTTTGTTTTTAACTCTTGGCACAACATGGTTTGCAGTACCACACATCACCTGCTCTGGATTACTTCCTGCAATCCTTTTCTCCACTCCTGCTCTTGCACTGCTGTGTGATGCATTTCACAGAGACAAATGCAGTCTGAATTAGAAGCTGCCTCTGGAAAGCACCTAGTCCAATGTTCTTCTCCAAACAGGGCTAATCTCAGTTGCTCAGGGCCTTATTCAGCTGAGTACTGCATATCCCCAAAGATCAATAGTCTACCACCACTCTGGGCAAACTGTTCCGCCATCTGACCACAGATGTGAAACAGTTTTCATAGAGTGAAAAAGTTTTTCCTATCATCTGAGTAGAATTTCCCTTGTGAAAACTTATGAACATTCCTTCTTGCCCTGCTGCTTGTACTCCTCAGTCAGTGCGTCTGGTTCCATTTTCACTGTGACCTCCTGAGAGAGAGGTACACAAAAATAGCAGTAAGATTCCTCTTAGCACTTTTCTTCTCCAGGCTAAGGAAGAAACCCAGCTCTCACAGCCACCCACTCTCTGACTTCTGCTTCAGATCCCTAACCATCTGGATGACCATCTGTAAGACTTCTTGGTATTCTTGGACTGGGGGAGACAAAAAATAAACTTTCACAACTTACCATTTTAACCTCTGTTTGCTAAATTCAACATAGTCAGTGTCCTTCATGCCAGACCCTTCTCAGTCTAGCACACTTACTGGGACACTCTTCCCAGAGTACTGGTACATATAATTCATTTGAAACTTGAGCTGTGAAAATGCTTTTTACCACAGCAGAATGCAAGTCTAAGAACAGAATGCTCATCTCTCCACCAGCCCAAAACAGACCTCTTTTTCAAATTTTTCCAGGAATGTCTGGAAGTCATGCAAAACCTTCTTCATCAGTGAGCATACATCACTCCTATCCAATGTGTCTTTCCACCACCCACTCTGTTTCATTCCCTCAATCTACTTTTTCACTTTGTCTTGCCAACTGTTATCTTTAAAATAAGCAATGATGTTCCTGAGTTCTCAACGCCTCTTCTTGCACTCACCTGGAGTTCCAGGGGGACCAGGTGGACCACGGAGTCCTGGTTCGCCATGTTTACCTGGAAACCCAGGTGGGCCTGCTTGATAAGCAGGAGATCCTTCTTCGCCTTTTTCACCTTTTGGTCCTATCTCTCCAGGTAAGCCTGGCTTATCTGCATCTCCTGAAACAGAACCAGGGAAGAAACTCAGAAGAATTTCTTACCAGTACTGCACAAAGAGCTGTAAGGTAACAGAAGGGACTGTTCCTACAATTGCATGTAGCAAGCAGGGAAAAATGGAGACATTTAAGTGTGTAACAAAAAGTGTAACTGCACTTTTCACTTGGGCAAATCAACAGTTGGTCCTGAAGCAAGGTTCTGCCGTCACCTCTACCTCAGTTGTTTTGCAAAGTCTCACTGGGGCCAAAGCAGGTACTTAAAAAACCTTTTGGTTTTTGCTACTGCAGTTAGTCACTTATCACACTGCACTGCATGTTTCACCAACTGTATGTGCATTTTCTCCACTTCACTCCCATACCAGTTAAAACTTGTTAAATTGCTGGAACAAGTGTTACTGGGATATTACCATCAGAGAATCCTGGAATACCAGGCAGCCCACGATCACCCTGCTCTCCTGGTTCTCCCTGGAGTCCAGAAGCACCTGGAAAGCCTGGATCACCTCTTACACCTGAAAGACAACCCCAATACCACAAAACATGTTAGTGTGATGCTGTTTGTGACCCTTAAGTGATGACCTGTGGTACTCTGCAGATTGCTTAACTCCTAAAATGGTTAAATTAGGAACTTCACCTGCTTTGGAATATTACAATTCACCATTATTTCTTAAAGGCAGCTTTCGAAATACAGAAATGTAGTACTTCATGCTATCTTAGTGCAAATAAACAAGTATATCAGAGAGATTTCTGTAAAGTCCTAATATCTGGAAGCTGAGCATACCCTGGAATAGGAATGGTGTAGAGCCACGAAGCCAAGGTAGAAGATCTCTGAACTCTTTCCAGTATGCTCCTAGAACTACACTTCTCCTGATGAGCTTTCTGAGGATAACCCCTCCTTTTCCCTACAAGAATTTGCCATTATAACCATGTGTGACATATGAACTTTGCTCTACTTTACTGTACCAGAAGCATCTACCTTGGCCCAACTATTGCATGAGGAAAGTATTGTCCTTTTGTCAAAGGCACAGGATATTCCATCACCTTGCCTGCTTCGTCCTCTCTCCACAAAGCTTCTCCTGCTCCTAAAGGCTTGGCAGGTATTCTGAGTGATTTAAACAGTGTTTATCCATTCTCTCCAGGAGGAAGAGAACTATTCGCTATTGCCAGACGCTCTTGCATTCAATAAGACTAGAAAACTCTACAGTGTAAGGATGCAGCATGGTGTAACAGCAAGTGATCATCATTCCTGCTAGTGCTTTCCTAGGAAGTTTTGGCCTTGGCAAACTTTTATCACTTTCTGTGTGTTTGTAGTCTGGCCAAGCAGATCCACCACAGCCCTACAGGGCAGCCGGCTGCAAGCACTACAAATGATTTCTGCATTTTATCCAGAAACTATGAAATAAGACCCAGATTACAGACTCTCCCTTTCTTCTTTTCATTGGACACTTTTTTTTCCTTTTTTTTCTTTTTTTTTTTTTTTTTCTCTGTGCACTCAGGAATGTATGGATGCATTTTGTTCAGCAATCTGTCTTCAGCAGGAGAGACAAAGAAGCCATCTGCCTGCAAAAAGGTAACTAGGGCACTCTTTCGTTATACATTTTGGACAAGTTAAGCAGTCCAAAGTTTTTAAGGAGTTGAATTCTCTGGCTTTAATGCTTTTGATCTATGTAGCAGGTGATAAAACCTGGCTAAGATACACAGTCTAAGCAAAGAAGACGTACCTTTTCTTGGAATGCGGTAAGGAACATAGGCAGGTGGTCCTGGAGGACCCATCTCACCCTGCTCCCCCTGTTAACAGAAGATGAAGCATCATATTTAAGCATATTATTCTGGGGAATTTCTATTAAAATGGAAACAAAAGCCCATGAAACACAAAGAACCAAAATTCCAAAAGCACTGACACAGCTTTTAAGAAATGAGAGCCATTTCAGTCAATAAACTACTTAACTGCTACTACAGTAACAAGGAACACTTTGATTGCTACTACATCGTGGAGAAGAGAAATTACACCTGGATTATCACTTCTGGCAAATGGAAGTAAAGCAGTACCTTGCCTCCTCTAGGACCATATTGACCTGGTTGACCATCCAATCCTGGAAAACCCTGTAATACACATAAAAATGGTTGGTGTTTCCTTTATCAGAAAGACAATAAAATTTGTTATCTGCAACAGTTGTCTTCCTCTGGTGTTACAGTGAGAAGTATGTAGTAGAGCTGAGCAGTTTGTTTCCCTGGGGTGTAGCAATTCAGGCAATGCCATTACAGAGTCACAGAGTCACACAAAGTCACAGAATTGCAGGGATTGGAAGGGACCTCTAGAGATCATTGAGTCCAACCCCCCCAGAAAGCCTTATTTTAACCTTACCTGAAAGATCCATCTGCTAAATCATTATCTATTTGTTTCTATATGAAAGCAAGAAATCTATCAAAAACACAGTGTGGAAAAACTACTTGGCATCACTGAGAATAGTATTTCTCCTGGAAATAGCTAGAAAAGTTCTGACATAATCCACAACGCTGTTGCATAAGGACAGATAAAAACAGCAGTCACATTACACACTGATACTTAGTGCATTAGAAACATAAGTGGATGTGTTCAGTCAGTACTTGGAAATAATCTTTCTTTCCATATTAATACTCCTTTATATGATGAAAATCCTACAAGGATCATAAGCAAAAGAAAGAAAACAAATGATCAAGCAAAAATCTCCATGCAAATTTTAAAAATAATGGGATACTTGTAATTTATAAGTTGAGCATTTTAGCACGTCCTGCTGTTTTCTGCAGGTTCATTTCCAGAATGGTTGTAATCACCAATCAGCAAGGAGCAGTGAGTTATTTACAAATTCACTCATGTATGCGAGCACAGAAGGCAAGCATTCCTTACAAAAAGCAAGATGATTAGGCTACTTTATTTCTGATTAAAATTCTGATAACAAGATGTTCACCAATTATTCAATCAAACGTCCCAAATCTACAGTTTTGCAAGCTTGCACATCTTCTGTCCCACCAATCTGTGGGGCTGTATAGTTACAGGAAGTGCTGACATACCGAGTAACTTGAAGCACCAGGGCACAGAGGAACACATTATGAGAAGCACAGCCCAGTTCTGTTCCTTTTGAAACCAGCTGTGTATGTGCTGACATTTAATACCAGGTCAGGCTGCCCAGGGCCCATCCAGCCTGCCCTTAAACACCTGCAGGGACAGGGCATTCAACATGGAGGTGATGCTCCGTTTCCCAATGGGTTTTGCTAACTCTGCTCTTCAGGTTTCAGTAGTCTCAGTTTCATTAAGTCTCCTCGTGTTCAATGTTCCATCTGTTAGATCAAATCTACCTCTCATCAAAGGCTGGAAGGATCTGCTGTGGCACAGGCTTTTGTGCTGCTGATGATAGTGCAGACAGATGGAGCACCTACACTTGCACATCCCCTTAGACACTGAAGGGTGGGAGAAGAGAAAGATGTTCTCATTGCTGGTCAACAGCATGGAACTGTGAGGGGCAACTGGGGATTAGGGAAAGAGTCTACACCAGAAGGCAGTGGGCATGGAACAGGTTACCCAAAGCAGTGGACACAGCACTGAGCTTGCCAGAGTTCAAGAAGCCTCTGGACTATGTTCTTGGACATAAGGTCTGACTTTTGTTTGTTTCTGGTGGAGCCAGGACTCAATGATCCTTTGAGTCCTTTCCACCTTGGGATATTCTATGATTCTATCATTCTGTCACATGAAGACATATTTCACATGCTGGAGGTGCACAGAAAAGAGCAGATTTCATTGATGCTGATACAGAAAAAAGAAGAATCTATGCATTTTATTCAGTTATTTTTGGGAACCTCTGCTCTCTACAGAAAATATTCATATGTACTATGGAAAAGGACTAGTGTTAAAAAGGTGAGCTTTTATTAGAAAACAGTGGCTGGACTCTTTAACTGATACCAACTAAAGTAGTTTCACCAAAGCCAGAAGATTTGTAGAATTCACACACTGTTAGATTTAAAACAGCACCTCCTGAATTTCATAGTAGGAACAACACAAAAACACAAAGTGAATATTTTCATAGTGGGCCCTTGAAGACGTTTACACAATTTTAAAGCCCTTGAAATTCCACAGCTCTCAGCAAGATACCACAAACAGAAGTGCATGCATCAGTGGCACCTACATGACAACCGTCAGAAAAAGTTAAGTACTAAGCATAAAGGCTCTTTACACTAGGTGGAGCTGGTGGTCTAGGAGTGCAGCCAGCAGCTTTCTGATTAAGAACTACTTCACCCAACGCAGGCAGACAGAGCAACTATCCTCTCTTTTTTAAGAATCGAATCATTCAAAAAACGTTAGAAAAGGGGTTATCTTGAATAGCAAATCGAGCAGCTTATTCCCCTTCAAATTTGTCCAAATCAATACACGTTTCACTAAAACTGTTGCCAAAACTCACTTTCAATAAAGGGAAGGCATCGAACATCTCTCACCAGTGCATGAACCTAAGTTGAGGTCAATCATTTGGTTTTAATGGACTCTGCATCGCTCTCTCCACGTATGTATTTTGGATAGTGTATTTCCTTCCACACCACCAGGTTTTGTCATCAATTCAAGAGCTGCACAACTGTTACTTTTCATGTATCTTGTACTTTAAGTCCCTCTATTTCATGTTATTGCTGTTGTGCCTTGGTGGAAAGTCAAACGTGTAAACCAGTTAAAGATGGAGGAGCATGGGAAAGTCATACATCTCACAGTTATCTGAATATCTCATGGAATTAATTCCTAATGCTAATTGAAAAGGCCCTTTTCTGAGCATAAACAGAAAGTATGAGCTCTTCCTGGTCTGACAAAATGCAATTTTAAATATTTGGGTGTGTTTCCAAGGGGACAGAGATTTAACTGGTGTATTTACCATTTCTTTTTTTTTTTTTTTTTTAACTTTTGATATCCAAAATGTACCATAGACACAGATCTTAAAAACTCTTCACAATAACAACTTTCTGCATGTGGAAGAAAATTACAGATTTCATGGTAGTAATAATGGGAACAATGAAAATGACAGCTCATGATGCTTTTAAAACGTGGTCCTGTTGTAAAACAGGCTTTAATTAGAGAACTGTTTTTTTTTTCACACTCATGAGGAAATGAACTGACCTAAAATTACCCAGATGATGCTTGTTAGACTACAGTTGGTATAATTACATGCAAAATTTGTCTTCTGCAGTCTTCTTTTCAGACAGATTGCCTACATGTGTGTTGGAAACAACAGTTGTATGAAATACTTACTCTTTCTCCACTAAGTCCTGGAAAACCATCGTTACCAGGCAGTCCCTATGAAAGGACATTAAAGTTAGTAAAACAAGAAATGACATAAGAACAGATTCTTTATTTCTTAGATAGAATAAATATGACAATTATTTTGAAAAAAATAATTTAAAACTAAAACTTACTCTTAGAATTCAGGTACTTTTTCAATGTGACTAATGCATGATGCAAACAGAAAATATCTGAAATTTAACCAGGTATTTAATTTTTATCTTCTTCTTAATCAATCAATTGTAAATTGAGCATGAAGATGCTAAGCTTTTAAAAATGTCTGAGATTTTTAAAAAAATGTATGCTGACTACTGTTACTCTGCTTAAGCACTTTAGAAACAACGCCCCCACAACGCATTCATACACGCTACAGGTAACAGTATTCACATTAGCTTTCTTCGGGGGTCAGTGGACTGACTGGGACTGGAGTCAAACTTGTATTTGTTAACCACAGTTTAAAAAGGGTTAGGGTGGAAACAGTGAAATGAAGTCCATCCTGCAGACCAGTGGAGGAGCAGTGGTAAATGAGCACAACTTTGGGTGAATGATGCAGGAGGGTGGAGGGTGGTGAGTCACGTGGGGCCCTTCTCCTGTTACCATTTTAAAAATATCATTTTTCCTTCCCCATATCAGGGAGTTCAAAGCTGGCCACAACTTGGAAGACACGGGCAGAAGAGCTCTCATTTCTGTGGCTTATTTTTCTGTGTTTTGCTCCTAAAGACAAATTCTCGGCTTGGGCTTGCATATTCAGTAGCATGAATTTTACCTTCAATGAGCGACTCACCCTTTGTCCTGGGAAGCCCATTACCCCTTCTTCACCTTTTTCAGGAGTGAAGAGAAGTACACCCTAAGAAATATTATAGTCAGTTCAACGTATTTCTACATGAAATAAAAAAAAAAAAAAAAGACAGAGACTTCAAGGAAGCTAAACAGAAGAAGATAACATTTCAACACACGTATGATTTTATTATGTCTGCATGTAAGAGAACTAATGTCCTTAAAGTAGAGTGTGATGTGCTTTCTTTATTACAATAACATGACCAGGACATTAGGGAGAGTACAAGGCTTTCTCTCTTATCATCTCCTTCTGTATTTCTTCCGCAGCTGTGACTTTAAACATAAGTCAGATCAGCTGTATGACCAAGTAAGCAATCCTGCTTATGCCCTAACTGTAGCTTGAGAGAGCTATTTGGCAACAATAGACATGGTACTATCAGAAAAAAAGGGAGAAACATATCCCACTCTGTTACATCAGGACGAAAATCAGTGGTTTTCCTAAAAGAGTCACAGCAAAATTCTGCATGTGTGAATTCTGACCAAGAGCAGGAAATCAGAATAGGAACTGCAGCAGGATTCAGACTGCAGCCTTCTCCCATAACCTCACTGGGAAGTTGACTAGACCATCTAAAAAAATAAAGGTCTGCAAAATGCCCAGTGAGGCATCCCTAATTGGTGAAGGCTGTATTTTAAACCACTCTGGGAAGTAAAAAAGAACCGCTCAGTAACAAAGCTATTTAGACAGACTAGAGATTTCATGTGAGTTAACTAAACCACATTCAGTCAAGCTTGGTCGACAGCTCTAAATGATACAGCAACACATGGGATTACTTTCACAGTCAACAGACATATGAGGCCAAAAGTCTCCATGTGCTGGAGAGAATTTGGACAAAATTTTCATACGTTATTACTTAATGGAATTTAAAACAATTTTTAAACATAGTTGACCAGCAGTTGTAAAGAGATCTATTGATAGCTAAGGCTAAAATTAAAAAATGTGTGAGGGAAAATCTTCTTTTGGTTAACCAGTAGAAGAATGATGGATTCTTCACTGTGGAATTCTTAGACATCATATTGCTGTTAAGGTTTTCTAAAGCATCAAAACTAGTGCTCCTGATAATGTTGCTCCGAAATTGGATCACATCATGTCAATGAAGAATACACTAACATTAATTCTGATTTATTTGTTTCTGGTATTCTTCACTTACTGGAAATCCAGCTTCCCCTTTTTGTCCAGGCTCTCCTCTTTCACCCTGGAAATGAAGAAAAATGTTCAGATATTTTAGGCATTCACATTTTAATAACTTCCAAAATAACTTTTAATAACTTTTTTTTTTAAATACACAGTGAAAAACGCTCAAGAGAAACACCACCACCCTTTTGCTCTTACTGGTAAACTAGTCATATGGAAAATCTGTTTTCTTTAAAAAAAAAAAAAAAAAGTGTTTTTTTTTTTTTTTTTTTTTTTATTTGATAATTTTCCTGAAGTTGTCTCCAGGGATTTGAACACCTTAGGATATTATCAGGCCTGTTTGTAAGATGCCTGGGTGAGGTGCGCACCTTATCTCAGATTTACTTATTGCTTATCTGTGAATTATCTGATCAGATGGTAGTAATTCCTTTAGGACAGGACAAATCACAGCTTAATATCAACTCACTATATCTGTCTCTCCATTGACTATAAAGGCCATCCAGAGAAGTAGCTCATATGCAAAGATCTCTCCTTAGTGAAGGAAATTCCAGATTGGCACCAAGGACATCTTTAGATCTTTCAGTATCACACGAGTTTATTTATCTCTCTGTAGAAATGCTATGAGCCATGTGAACTTTATATCTCCAAATTCAGGACTAAGGACTACTTATTGGTCTGGATTGGTGTTCAACATAGAAAATGTTTATACAGAGCATGAGAATTTCTGTTTCTAACAGAAATAAGAGATGACAATAAGCCGTATCTTTCTGTAGAGGATTTATTCAACATGAATGGACAAGCCTTAACTGTAGATATATAGACATCTGCACCACAGAGACACCTTACATACATACATACATATATATAAATATACACACAGGTCAGGTTGCTTCCATGAAGATTAGTTTCTCACAGCATGATAATTTCATTCATCATTACAGAGAATAAGATACAAAACAATTTTTCAGCTGGTATTTCTGCTTGTAGAATCAGAAGACATCAGTGATTGCCAATAGTTGCATACTAGGGTTTATTTAAACAGAAAGAACAAGTTTGCTACGGCAACTCCAGTCATTGTTTATGAGAAGTGCTTTCTGATTAGCCACCATAGCTGCAATAAATACCTTAGGATTCAAGCTACAGGAAAGCAGCAAATTTGTCTTGAAGTACTCATCTCTTCTAAGCACAGTATGTAAAAGCACATTGCTATGATATTTTAGTTTTGATACTGCTAGGCTCTCTTAATTCTTCTTGCATTTTGGCAAAGTATTCTGTACTTACTTTGTGTTTGTCAGTGGGGACACCAATCAGTTCTCTTGTGGGAAGCCCAGGTGGACCTGGAGGACCTGGGGCGCCCTGAAGGAAAAACATAAAGGTATGTCTACTAACAGTTGCAATACTTTGCCAAGTTGTTGGTCTGCATGGGGTGATGAGTGGAATGGAAGATGAATAGAAAAAGAGTAATGCAGATATTCCCCTGCTAAAAATAAATTTCTAAATCTCTAAATAAACTGACGGCAAGAAACAAATTCATTTTGTACTGGGATAAACAAATATGAATAGATACTTGCTCTTGCCATGTATGTTTCCAGAATAAGTGTAAAGGTTATTGCTTTATACAAGGAAGTCTGGCTCTATACATTTCATACTCTGTCTTGGTATAAATAGGGCACAGTTAGACCAGGTCACGCAGAAGTTAGTTCAGCTATGACATTTGTTATGCAGATTATCATTAATTTCAAAGCTATACTTGTTTGTTTTTCCATTAAAGTCATGTAATAAAATCACAAATTAAGAGAGCATTCAAAATAGATTCCTTAATAAATAGCAAACAGTATCAACCTGCCCTTCTGTAGTGATACTAATTCATTAGTTTTCCTTTACCTGTTCACCTTTTTCTCCATAAAAGCCAAGACCTCTGTTGCCCTGCAAAAGCAATAGGTCAGGGTTTACAAAAAATACAGCTCTGCTTTCTAATGTAAAGTTTAAATTCGAACATTCTGAAAGGGCTTTTCAGATTTAGAATTCTGTCAGATGCCACTGAAGAAATGTAATCAAGTAATTGTCTAGTTTTAACTTAGAGTAATTTTAGAGAACTGAAAAACATTTTCACAAACCTAAACATTTAGACGACTTTAATTGAAATCTCATGATACCAATGTTAACAGACTTTGAGTCATTCTGAGTAACGACCAAACACCTCTTTCGCAAATTTTTTAGTAGACACTAAATCAAAATACTCAGGTGAGTCAGAAAAATTAACTCATATGTATTTTTTTCAGCTGAGATATAGTCGAATATTGTACAGATGGCCAAGTTTCTCTGCTCACGGAATGCCACTGTGACTACAGTAGCAAATAAAATCTGGCTCTAGAACTGGTTTAATTGTTTCGGAGCAGCTGATCCAGCATAGGATTAACTTTCTGTGGTATGCAGCCAACACAAAAAGTCTTGTGCTACACAGCCTTTGGAGAGGCCCGTGGTTCTTTATTTTACTGCCTTCAAGTCAGTCTTGGGTAAACCTTAGCAACACAAAATCAACAGTAAAGACTTAGAAACAAAGACTTACTTGTGGTCCTTGCGGTCCTGGGGGCCCTGGTGGTCCCTAGAGAAACACAACAGCGGGGAGAAAGTTACTTGTTGCTTGGTAATCAATGCATGCAGGAGCTCAGTTACTCTGTGCTGGAAATAAAAGTCTGTATTTGGAAGGCAGTGTATTCCTTAGCACTTAGTGTACCAACATCACCACATAAATGGTATCACTGCTCTGAAAAATACCCGTCTAAGTCATACAATAATCTCTCCTACAAAGTCTCCTAGCTTAGACATAATTAAATTCCATTTTTTATTTCAAGCAGTAAGAACTTATGCTTTTGGATCCTGACTTGTTAATGTTTTATGTTCATACCTAGACTAGACACAACACACTAGACTGGTGTTTTCATACAGCATCGGTGTGCAAAGGCTGCATCTTAGATTACCAATTTAATGTTGTACAGAATGGTATCAAAGGAAAATTGTGAGAAATGAAACTGTAACAAAGAAAATGCTGCCAGAGTTTTACAGAACAAGTAGTAGGAAAGCTATTAATTGGAAAGATAACTTGCATTGCCTCAGTTAATTATGGTAGTTAACAGGCTTCAGTGAGCTCTAAACTCTTAAAAAAAAAGTCTGCGGAAGAGGTGGGATGAATAAGAAGCATGAACTTTCCAGAGAAGAAGATGGTGAATAAGAGGAATAATAAAAGAGAGCTGCAGATGGATCTGTCTACCTGCGGAGCCCCAAGGGGGGTGCAACTTGGGTTATGAAAAATCAATCCCAACTTGCAAGAGTAAATCATAATTTTCTGGCAAGAACTGTACTTGCTATGTATTTCTGTCCTGCTCTGTATCTTCATGTGAATAAACAATAGTCTTGATCTGTTTTGATTAGACAAGCAGTCTACGAGCCATTGCCTGATCTACACGTAAGATGCACTGTGCAGGCATCCACTTGGAAGCTCTGCAGTAACTTGGGGTAGCCACATTCACCTTCATGTGGGGTCTAAGATTCAAGGACAGTACAAACCTGGAAGCATTTCCTAAGTCCTTCCCAAAGGAGAATTAGCTTTAGAGCTTTAGAGATTACAAAGATGTATCAGTTTTGTTAAGAGTGGGAGATAGTGGGGATGCATCTACAGTGGCAGTGTTCAAAAGAGATGTTGCCATGACTGCATGACTGCAATCATGGGTTGCACCACAGTGTACAGGGAGAATACAAGCCATTGCAGGCTTTGTAAAGCTCATGAAATATAAGGATCCACTATAGAAAAACAGTAACTATGGAGATCTCACTTCAATACGTCCAAAGGAGAAATATATGGCACAGCTTACTCCAGATGATATTACAGACACTGTGGAAAATGAACTTTGGGAAGGCTTAACATGCTATGAATTTAGCCCTAGAATTTTTAAGCACTGCTTTTTTTTTGTTTGTTTATGTTGGTTTTTTGTTCCCCCCTCCCCCCCCAACAATCAGTGATATAGAGCAGATTTAAAATAAAATGTTGAAAAACAAGCAGGAAAAAAAACAAAACAAATGCTATGAGGTTTCTTACAGGAAAATAAAGCAAGCCTAAAAGAATCGAAGTTCACTGAATCTGAACATCTGCTTTCACCCATAAAATCATTAACCGTGGCAAATAAGAAATGTAGAAAATGATATATGGAGAGAACACAATCTCCTCAGAGAAATATTCAGCAGCAGTTGTCAACTCCAATGCTGTAAGCACTGACTTTTGACAAAGATGACTGAAAAAAAAAGTTTAAAAATAAAATTGTTTTCTAAAAACTAATGAGAAAAGTTAACTAATGCTAATAAAATACCATTTACAAGCAGAAAAGCGATATATTTAGATTCTGATATCTTTGATAACTCACTGTGGAGGGTCACAGATACCTAAATGGGCTACATTCAATAATCTTTTCAAACAAGACACTCAAGGAAGTAAAAAAAAAAAAAAGCAATATAAATCAAGAGCCTTAGGCAATACAAGGTGAAAGAAAGTACTGCAATTCTTTGTGCAATACTGATCTCTGTGGAATCAGTATCTCAGTGCTTTTTCCAAGGTTTTGTATCCAACTACAGATACTCATTACTTTTAAACTTCTTTTTTCAGTTCATTTGCTACTTTACAGTCTAATATAATGAATCTTGCTGACATGATTCTTCCACTAGGATAATTTCCTACAGAAAGTATTTTCAACATACTTACAGGTCTTCCTGGTGTTCCTCTTGGACCAATAGGTCCTTGAATACCCAGTGTACCTGGAGCTCCCTTTAAATAGAAAAACAAACACACAAGCATCAATTAATGTTTTTCTGATGACAGTTTCTACTGACAATTTATTATAATTTTCAACAATACTACTTACTGGAAAACCAGCGAATCCTGGATCCCCAGTTTCCCCCTAGAGAAAACGAAGAAGTAAAAAATACATTAAACAAGATATACAAAATGAAATAAAATGTTTTCTCATTACATTTTCTTATTACAAAAGGTATTTTAAATAATCATAACATATAATCTGTACAAATCCTTACATACAGACACATTCAATGAATATTTTGACATAATCTAACGTGTTTTATCGTAGATAGATTTTATACTTTCTACATACAGTACAGTTGCAAACAATATATTTGGAGAGTACCAAGTTGACTAGGGAAGTCAAGGAACCAAACTGCAAAGCTAAGATGGACAATGGAGCATGTTCAGTTCATTTTGAAAGACCTAACCAGTAGCAGAATCAGAGATACAACGCTAGATGAAATGTACAAGACCGTTTTTCATGAGTTGCATGGGAATTACCAAATCATTTTGATTCTCTTCTGAGTCACTGAAAAGCACTTGGAACATACTGTTTTCAGTGACCACATATTTTAACTGCAGTACATGTTGAAATGTTTTTGGAAATTGGATCCAAAAATGTTCTACTGCAAAGACTTTCCAACAGCCATAAATAATGTGGTCTTCAGTCCAGACACTTTCAATCATTTTGAATAGCATCTTAAGTTTTTTTTACATGTAGTTTACTTGAGTTTAGTTAACGGAATAATTTGTGGAACCATTTCCTTTCTGAAATGGTACAGGTGCAAGTATCTATCTTTGACTGCAAAATACTTGAGCAGTTCTGTAATCATTACTAAGAGCTAACAAGTGATCGGAACTTAAGAAGCTTCTGAAAGGAGAAGATTCCATTAAAAAAAACATAGGCTGCTACAAGTATGTCAACAGAAAGATATATTTTGGCACTCACCACTGGCACAAAATATATACAAATGAACTCAGCAGATCCATTAAGTGCCAGGACAGATCAGGTGTATGCTTTGTATTTAAATTTGTCACAATTTATACTCTAACAGTTAATATAAGCACTTCTTATTATCAGATATTTTCAAATTATACAAAACTATATATTTGAAAAAAGATACAAATAATTTAAAAATAAGTTTTATGGATCAGGATGTAAAAGCATCCATAAGAATACTTGGAGTTTGCTATAGAACCAAACAAGACATGGAAGCGTATTTTATCACAGGTTAACCAAATTCCTTCATGGAAGTTATAAAGAAAGGGTGATAACATCAAATAGAATCATTTAATGGACAAAAGTTGAGCACAGGAATGACTCTGCCACAAATGATATAAAGGTAGCCATTGAATAAAGAAGATAATACTTGAAGCACAATACTTGAACTTGTATTTAAAAGCACAATCTTACAAAAGAATTTCAATTGACAGGTTATTGTATTTGCTCAACTGTATCTGAAGTCCATCCAGAAGGACTAGAAGTCCTCGCAATGAGTAGACATTACCTCCATGAATATCAGGTAGGCTTTGCTGTAATCAGAGAGCAGAAGCTGCCTGGAAAAACCTACAAAGAATCTAAGTGGGTCTCTGGGAACATTTCATCCAGAATGTGAGAAAAACTCACTCTCCACCATTTGTAACACCTTGCTGAGCATGGATTGCTAATTCATCAGTTCACAGGGGCTGCACACGTACCCGATGTCGGCTGGCGATGTCCGGCGGTAGCACATAGGGCTCCCCTTTCTGGCCCTTTGGTCCTTGAACTCCCTGGTTGTGAGCGAAAAAGGAGTAAAATCTCATATTGTCTGCAAACACATCATCAGTTAAGAGTAATAAAAAATATTTGTAAGGCTTTTCATGAGTATGTACGCGTCACTGTTTAAAAGTAGAGACCGTGTTTAACTCTGGAAGTTTCTGATTTATAAACAAGCACGAGCCCTCACGGTATATAAGAACATGGATTTAAGATACAGGGAGAAGAACTCCCTGTTACTGTGATATTACAGGAGCACATCACATCAAGAGGAGCAGCTCATCAGGGCTGATGTATGGACTAGTAAATCCAGGAGCTCCAGTGCTCACCTCAGCACGATCTTACCTACTGCTCCACAGAAAGCCAGTATGTTGGGTATGAGATAGGGGAGAAAAAAGTTACTTTCACCAGGAACTGTACAGTTTTCCTGCAGTAATCTCCCTGCAGGACCTGCGTGACAGGTATAGCTCTGAGCAGACCTGTCAGCCCAAAGAATTATGGGGCATGTCTGTGGTAGGTCCACAAGGATGCTTGATGCTCTGCTAGGCCAAAAGGGATCTCCTGTTCCATATGTTTCCAACACACACTTGTGTGAAATTCATTTCAGTAATCATCTTTGCTTCAGGTATTTATTTACTGTCAGCTACTTACAATGGTACCAGGGAAACCAGAGTGTCCTGGTGTTCCTGGGTCACCTGGGTCACCTACTGTCCCATTACAGCCATCATGACCTGGCTTCCCCCTTGATCCTGGCTGCCCTGGATGACCCTGTTGAGGAAAAAAAAAGTGTTTATCTATCCATCTGTTTCTAGTTTTCCTTTTCCTGTAGTCACACAGTATTTAGACATTCTCACATTAAGCCCAAGGCTTGGATCCATGGGAAACTATGATTTTCAAAGAAAGAAACAGACAGTGCCTTTTTTTAATATAGCTGCAGCTTGAACCATATGCCCCAGACAGCATGAGTAGTGAAGGACCTTTCAGAAAGGGTAAGAAAGCTATGTTCAATACAGTCTCTGTTAAGCAGAGAACTAAGCCAGATGAAACTTCTGTGCAGGGAGTCACCAAGAAATGGGTTTGTTCAGAATTTCAGTGCTTCACACTGGAGGAATGGGAAGAAAGGTTCATTACTGGCTTTGAATAGCTTCCAAGCTAGGAAAAAAATCACTGATGTCTTTAGAGCTTGGTTGAGTGCCATGATGAAGCTATAAGTACAGAGATGGGAAGAAACCAGACGCTCAAACCAAGGCTGCTGAGGGCAATGTAGAAGCTCCACACTGAACCTCTGAGATACAGGAAAGCAGGGAAAAGTGACTCCTGCCTTATAATGGGTTTCCACTGCACTACTGATGTTCACCTTAATTGCAGTTGCTACTGGTTTGTATTGGAATTGATGGGAAGAAATTCTGCCCTTGATCATCTTTCTTCCAGGAGGCTCAGTCAGGAAAAACAGAAACTAACATAAACAGAATACGTTTATTTCTTCTTTGCTACCTAAAGCAGGTTTTATCTTTGCTTCTGTTCCCTTGCTTAGAAGAAAAAGAAATTTGTCCATGCCATTTCATAGCTCCATCAAGTACCTGCATTCCGCACTACAGAACAGAGTCAGGTTCACAGCATCCTTCCTTGGTTTCTAGCCCCTAGAGACCCTAGATATCCTAGTACTCTGCTGTTGCAGTTCATATATGCGCCTATCTGCCTTCTGATGGTCAGTGTTATGCCTTGGCCTAGGAAAACTGGTTGGTGAACATAACCAAATGGGAAGGGCAAGGGCTTGAAGGCAGCACACAATAAGCATGCAGATTCAAATAATATCTGAAGGTATTTATTCCTGACAATGCAATTGCAGAGGTTGTGGAAGCAGGACTAAGAAAGAAAACTTTCTCAGGTAGCAGTTGTTGTCCAGTCATAGTAACACAGAGCTTTGCAGGAGAGTGATATGTTTGCAGGAGGACAGAGCACTGAAAAACAACTCAGTATGATGAAAATGTAAATGAAATTATAGGCTACAGAATTTTGTATAGGAATAGGAAAGAAGGTTTTCTGATTTTCTTCTAAGAGTGATAAGGAGAGAGAGGAGAGAGGAGAAAGCCCTGAAACTCAATACAGAGTTTTTCAGGAACAAAAAAGGGTGAAAGCTGAGTGGATGTGGATGTGTGGGTTGCAGAGCAAGGCCCTGGTGTCAGGGAGCACTACAAAGGAAACCCAAGCCTGGGAACTCTGTCCAGGGATTCCAATGACTCAGATTTCTTTGTTATTTTATGACACAAGATATAAAGAAGTGTAAGCTGGGAAAATACTGTGCTGTGAACTTTACCCAGTTTTCCTCTTTGAATGTTTCACATTCATGGACCTGGACAATTTGTTCAAAGTTAGATACTAAACAGTTTTTTTAAGATCATCTCATGCACGCTGTATGAGATACAAACCACACAACAATGGTTACATTTATTGGTCTTTCTACATGCTTTACAGCTTTGAAATAATTAAGGCATGACCCAGGGGTGTCCTTCGCTCACAAGCCTAAGAGATGTGAAGTACTTATCTCACACGTTATTCCCATAAAAGAACATACTTTTCTGGGTAATCTCTAGGGATACAGGGAATTTCCTTCCTTTTTTGTCTTTTTTTTTTTTTTTACAAGGGGATTTCTCCATAAGACAAAGCAAACAGACCTTGATTATCAGAGGGAATGAGCAGGAGCACATATTTCATCCTGTTGTTGAGCATCTGCATTTCCACTTACTTCAGCAAATGCCCTTAGCTTAACACTGTGTATGTGGCTGATACAGAATTCAGACCAGACACATTAAGGTACAAAGGCTGCCACATTTGCAGCCTTTGTAAGGTACACAGTCTGCCATATTTGCAGTTGGTGGTTTCTTTAACATGAGGTAACCAGCTACTTACAGGAATGCCATCTGCCCCTGGGAAACCAGTGACTCCTCTTAGCCCCTAGAATGAAACAGCACAATTAAAATGATGTTCCATCCAGTACTTTGCTCATTAGCTAAAACATCTGATATTCAAAAGTTACCATTTCTCCTTTGGGTCCACTTATTCCTGGATGTCCTCTTTCACCTTTGTGACCTTTAGGACCTTGCAGTCCTGGGATTCCCATCAATCCCGGTGGTCCAGGGAGCCCCTGTGATCCAAGCTGTCCTGGCTGGCCCTGATAAAAGTAATAAAAAAGCATTTATTTAGGAACAGTTGAGATGCATGAAGCTCGACTGCAGCTCAGCTTTCTTGCAGTGGAGTCAACCTCTTCAGAAGAAATGAAACACAGAACCTTTTTTATTCCAGTAGATGAGACACTTTGATGAAGGTAGACACCACACAAAGAAACTCCAACAAAGTGATCACGTTGTTCGGAAATGAAAGATCAAATCAATATTTGCTACATTCAATGCTACTCTATGAAAAAGGTGTTTTTTCTGGAATAAGCAGAATGACTTCTCAAGAGTGATTCTCAGTGGTATGAGACATAATCAGTTACACTCCAAGCAGTTAAAATATGCTTAACTGTGAAATCTGTTTATCGGGACATTTCTTACAAATGGAGACTGATATTTAATGGCATGAATTTCTGCCTGTCTGGGACAATACTTCTGTTTAACACTGGAGCCTGAAAGTGTCTTGACACATATGCCATTAGGGGCACCCACAAAGGTTGAGGGCTCCCTGTCATTAAAAGCTCCCTTCCAGCACTGGTTTGGTGGAACAGCCTTACTGACATTCTTAAGGCCACTTCAAACACTGTTTGAAAATCATCCTCTGTTGACTGCCAGCATCACAAAGCTCATCACAGGGAGAAAAAATCATTTTGAAATGACACAATGGTGGTTTAGGTACTGGGACTGTGACAGTATGGCTGAGATCTGTGAACCAATGTGTTTGAAAACTGTTCCAAATGCAGGATCAGCAAAGGAACTTAAGCTTTTTGTGCTCTGGGGTACCCATTGCACTAATGACACTAACAGTAAGTAGCCACGGTCTTTTCTGAAGAGAGATGCTTAAATAGCACAAAGCACCATTTAGCAAAACACTCTAATTAAACAGATTCTAATGAAAGTATTTTAAAAATGCAATTAGATTTTCACAGACCACTCCCCAACAGCACCAGTAACTCAACGAAGCAGCAGAACATGAACAAGCAGATATGTATTTATACAAACGAACCATTGTGGGATAAAATATATGGCACAGTTGCATAAAAATAGTGAAAATCTCTCCTATCCCACCTTCCTGGAGTAACTTACTTTTTTTTCCCACTCACATCTGTGCCTGGAAAGAAAGACCTAAAAGATGTCCCTATTGAAGGATGCTTTGAATGTTCTGTGTTCAATTCCATTAAATGTAATTGAGATGGGAGGAATAAAAGAGGGCAGTGTGGAGACTCAAAGAAATGAACCTGAAGATATCCATTTTATTTGTATTCAGAAAGCAGTACTCAAGCCAATGAACGTTGTTTTCTGATTTTATTCAAACTTTTATGCTCCTTATGAGGGATAGCCCCAGTTGAGACACAATTTAAATATTTCATTTTCAGCAATCTATATATAACTATATTTTGTATATGCTGTAGTTGTCTTATCAGAAAGTCCAAAATAAATACCATGACTTAAACATAGTGTACTTCTAGTTAAAACAAACAATCAACAACAACAGAAAAACAATCTATTTTCCACAATTGTTTTGTGAAAAAAAGCTGTAACAACAGTTTGAGTACGTTTTTATATTTTAAGACCCCTGTATTACATCAAACAAGTTCCTCCTAAGGAGATGAGATAACCAAATTCTGTACAAAACTCAGTGAATTCTTCTTTCTTGTAAAAAGTCTAGGAATGAGCCAGTATAAAGAATGAAATACATGTCGTTCCTCGGGGACAAGCAACCAGTATGGATCTCTGACAGTGTGGATCCTTCGCTATACTGTTGCAATTAATTTGACAGAACTGATTGTTTAGGAGCATTGCCAAAAGACAACAGGGATTTAAGTGTTTGAGCTGTCAGCATGAAAGATAATCTCTCCTGTGCTTACAACAAAGCACAACTTAATACAAGTTCCCTACTCCTAAAGTAAGCCTGCTCATAGGGATTACTGATGTTTAGCGGGCCGATGTCTTTCCATTTATCAGTTTAATAAATAGAGAAGAAATAGAGACACATATAAAACATGCTAATCCTGTTGACAGGAGACATGCACATCTGAGTAAGCAGCAGCTCATTTCCTTATGCCAGTCACAGCTGGCAACTGCAGATGCACCTTTCTCTACCTTAGCAGTTTTGGGTCTTTTAAAATCAGTTAATCTCTAGAAGTTACCCACGGAGGTGCAGACCCATGTCTAGAACAGCTGCACTTTTCTTAGCTACTTGCCTGAGATAGAAAGCTGTTGATTAGAACCACTGAGAATGCTTCTAAGCCACAAGATCAGGAAAAAAAACCAAAAATCTTTTCTGATGCCACTTTTTCTTTTCTACCTTTAAGCAAACGGGCTTGAGAGAGTACAAATGAGCATACACTGTGGAAATGCCTTTTTAAGGGAAATAATGGGTATTTAATTCATTTTTAAAAATGCAGATTTTTAAAGTACAGTGTATCTATTCTTATGCAAATAGTTAAAATATTCCATCATACCTATAAAGATGTAAGGCCTAAATAACTTTGACAAAGTACAAATAACAAAGACAATTTGTCCTTCCCTTATACCCAGATATGGAAAGGAACACTCAATAATGATGAAAACATATCCTGCATACTTGCAAAGAACAGATAAAAATTATTCAAATTCAATTTTAGATATCTGAATTCAACTTAATTTTGAGAAGTTCTGAAAATAAACATTTAATTTCCTTCCACAAAGAAAGAAATCACGGATTCTGCATACTGAAAAGGTAGCGCTGTGTGGGAAACTGCTGCCTCTCTGAACTGTGCCAAATATCATTTCCACTTGCACCCCGATTTTCCTATCCAGTATGAAGAAATAAGTAAACAAGGCATGGGAAACCAGGAGAGCTGGGCAATGCCAGCACCTCTTTCCCATGCCTTCCTTGATTATGGTTGAGGAACTGGGGTTGATGTAGATGGATAATTTAACATTATTTGCAATAAATATATGATAATTGATCATTCTGGAACTATCATGATGCTAGAGATGAAGAATTAGTTCATATCACGACAGTGTGTGGAGTTCTTCAGTCAGTTAGCATCCTGGCTTGTTAACTGAATTAGCTTTATTAACCTTAGCTAACTCAGACATGTCAGCTTTTCCTCTGCTCTCTTTATGTTAAATCTTTTGTTGAACAAGTATGTCCCTTTTTCATTAGCAAATGACCTTAGAATGCGCACTCTTTTGCAAAGGTCATTAAGGAGATTTAAGCAAAGACAATAAATTTGAAAGGTTTAGTCAAATAAAGCTTATTAGAGTCTGGAATTCCCCTGTGTGAAACATGCCATGCACTACTGCTCTGGTTGTGCTCCTGGAAGTTCAGAAATTGTAGAAAAGTCTCCAAGGCCAAGAAATGATATTTGGAATAAATTTCCAGGTTAAAAAAAAAAGAAAAAGGCAAGCATAGGGAAATATGATATCCCTGGCGTTTGTATTTTAGATAACTCACAAAGCACTTCCTCTGGTGCTCTCTTTTCTTACATGATAAAGCAATGCAGAGATGTGTTATGGCCCAAAGGGCTCTCCAGCAGAAGACTTTGCATACTGCTGGGGGAACTGGAACTCTTCCAGTATGCAGAGCATGGTATCATTGCCACTTACTGCCACAGGACTAACAGGCTAGGGCTGTGAGGCTTTTGGTATTCTGTGGCAAAGAATATCAGAGGGAGCACGCAAAAAGAAAGGGAAAAAGTGGATGGATGCAATACCTTATAGACCAACAAAGACTTTTACATTCCTCTTTGCTCTTGTTATAAAACTTCCTCTAACATTCAGATGAATTTACAAAGCTGCCAGTATCAGGACATACTCCCAAACAGGCAGTCCCTGCCTTGCTCCTCTGGAGACTCCAGCTGACTGGAAGAGGTCTCATACAATCCCTGTGGCCAGCACAGTCATGTGCAAAAGCTATTTACAGGGAGGAGCAAAGGTCAGAAATTTAGGAAGCCTGGAGGAAATCTTCCCAGAAAATATTTGCAGTGTTGTATATACATCGTCCCTTGTCCACTGACGTGCATGAAAGAAAATGCTGTCAGGGTTGTCATTGAATTTAACAACTGTATTTTGCAATTCAGTCCCAGTGGACTTAAGAAGATCCTGAACAGACTTTTAGATCTGTACTGAATGTTCGCGTATTACAGCTTGAACTTTAATTTCCAGTTCTTTTAAGAACCAGCCAAACGAAAGAGATGTCATGTTGCAATACTTTCTTCTTTCCCATTTACTGCTAAATTTACATGCGTAAAGGAAAGTGTGCGAATTTTGAGAGCAATCAATTTTTTGGGGTGCTATAGAAATAAAGGCACAATGAATGACAGATTCTGTTCCAAAGATTTTGAAACACAAGATTGATCATCATAAATTGACGAGAAACTCACCAGTGTTTAGATATGAAGAAAGGAGAAAAGTAGTTATCTGCAGTAATGAAGAAATGGAGAAAACCAGAATTACTGTGGAGCTTCATGGTCACTGAGCCCACACCACTATATTACGGACTTTTATTTTGTAACTGCTTATTTTGTACATGGAATGTGATGAATCAGTATTCCCCACACGAAAATGACCCTTGAAGGACATAATTTATTTAACAGTGGACAAGAAGAAAGGAGGTTAATTCCCTGACATTTTAGAAAGGTCATTTGTGAAAGGACAAGTTCACTTCCTGCAGGAAGGGGGATCTGACTGTGATGGACAAGAGGGAGCTGGGGCTTTCGTGAGAGGGCTCAGTCTGGCACAGTGACCATAGAAGATGGATGGGTAAAGGAAATGACAGCAAGAACCTGGATGCAGCCCCGCTAGTCAGAGACTGAAACTAGCACAATAAAAAGCAACTCACCAGGGAATAAAATCAGTTTTAGGGAAAATGGGAAAATTTTCAGCTGATTAAATGTGTGATTCTCAGGAAAGAAATAGAAAAGTTGGGTTTTTTTGATAGCAAATTTAGGGATTTTGCAGTTCCCTTAGACAGCTTTCATAGAAGTAGGCACATTAAAGCAATCTTTGA